ATCATAGCTTGAATTTCTTAGATTTATCACTTAAAATTATTAATAACAAAATATATATAGACTGGTATCAAAAAGAAACCTTCTCAGGAAGGACGTTATCATTTTATTCAAACCACCCATTATGCCACAAAATTGGAATAATATATAACCTTGTAGACAGATGTCTATTGCTATCACATCCACTATTTTTAATAAAAATTTGGAGTTAATTATTAATATACTCAGAAGCAATGGTTACCCTCTTGATCTGATTTTTAACAAAATTAATCATCGGATAGAACACATCATATCTAAGGGGAGCATTTTAGAGAGACAGGCCAACATAGAAAGAACAAAAAGTATAAGAAATGACTCGGTCAATAAAAAATTCTTTGTCATTCCGTATATAGATAGGGTCTCAGAAATGATTGTTTCCTCGGTGAAAAATAAAAATTGTATGGTAGGGTATAGATGTCTCAACAAACTGGATAATATTATTAAAGCACAGAAAGATAAAACTAAACATCCATGCAATTCGAATGTGGTTTATAAGATCAGTTGCAATAATTGTAATGCATCTTATGTAGGCCAAACAAAGAGGCAATTGCAGACGCGAATAAAAGAACATAAAAATAATATTAGGTTGGACTCAACGAAACATTCAGTAATTTCTGAACACATAATAAATGAACATCATACTTTTAATTGGGACAATGTTAAGATCATGGACAACGAAAATAATTATTATAAAAGACTCATTTCTGAGATGCTACATATCAAGGAACAAAAAAATGGACTAAATTTAAACAAAGATACTGAGTTACTTAGCGAGTCGTATTTTGATATTTTGGATATATTGGCGAACAATAAATAATAATAGGACAAATAGGACATTAACGAGTAAAACATAGATATTAGATCATATATAAACACGCACGCTCTCCGATCAAGTAGAGTTTAAAATGAGCTGTCTTTCTGTATTGTTGTTTGTTAAGTGTCATCCTTAATAACTGTTAATAAGTAGCAAAATTGTCAAGAAGAACGATGATAGGTAAGCATACTACCAATTGTAGGGGATATATATTATAATTTGGACATACGTTGATCGGTAATTTTTTATTAATCGCAGCGCCTACGGTACGGGTTAATTTCTCGCATATTAACGATGAAATCATCCAAGATCTGAACAAAATCAGAGATCATATCGAGGCGAACATTGTTGGACAGGACGGATTGAAACACGCGTTAATTGCTCAAAAACTCTCGATTCTGAATAACTATAATTAAATTTCGATATCATATGAATTGTAAGAATTTATTTTTCAATAATTATACTGAAGAAGACCGCGTGCGGTCGAAACGTTTATAGAATGATTGTAATTTGCGTTAATTTGCGTTAGTTTTAATATAATATAATGACTGTAGTTTATAATTTATACATGTAATAAATGGTAGTTGACTGAACATCTCGAATATTCAGCTCGATAAGTTGGCCTTATATTTATCACTTTGTTTTCAATACACGAGCGACAATTTGTATTAATTTATTTTATTATATTTTTAAGTTTGATAATTATGAAAATATGTATATATAGTAATTCATGGCATGTTTATTTTTGTATTTAATACAATTTTAAATGTACATTTCTCATCAATAAAATATCACAGTATCTTTTTATAATTTAATTTTAATATTGAGATTGTTTTATTCAGTGGAAAAAAAAATGTGTAGTTGGTCCCTATTAATTATACATACATATAAGAGTGTCGCACAAATAATTCTATGCAGTCTTTTAAGATAATATAAAAATACTTATAAATATAATCAATTAAAATACATATAATCAAAATTGTATGTATTAAAATTCAATAGCATATAAAAAAGATTTTTTGAAATTATATATATATAATAAAAATCCAACATTTATATATATATATATATATATATATATAAATATATATTTATTTATTGTATATCATAAATATATATTTATTTATTTATATTTACCTATCTTTTTTTTATATATATGGTAGAAATACAATGTGAGTTATTTTATTTTGCAAAAATTTTTGAAAGTTAAAACTATACAATGAAATTATTTCATATAATACCGAGATTCTTTTCATAATAAAGATTAAGAGAGAGTTAGATTTTATCATAAGATTTTAAAAGTCATAAGATAAGGTTAATTGCATATTGTATAATTTATCTCTCATTTTTTAAAGTAAATAAATATCAAAGTTACATTGCTTGAACTGGTGCGTTTGAAGTATGTTGTCTTTTTGAGGGATGCAAGACAATATAGTACAAAAGCATTGCTGTAATTCCCAGAAAAAGGAAATGATACAAATAATAAAGATTATATTAAAGTACTAAGCCTCTTTAACTGCAGGAGGACAAGCATATTGCCATAATAAATTTGCTGCAATATTTTCAAAAAAGCAGATAACATAGAAAGATAGATGTTTTCAAAATGTTTTGCTATCTACAGCATTGAGATATATAAAAATGTGCACTATGCCAATAACGGAAGCAAATAATATGGAATAAATGCGTTCTTTAATTGTAGGCTGCATATGTGGTGGATGACTGCAAGTCCGACAAAATTCCAATATTCCATGGGAATCTATCAAAATCCATATTGTCATACTTAGCCAATGTATTACACAATATATTATGGTATATACAGGCCAGATGCTTGCAATGACACTGAGCAATAAAATCCTTGCCACTACAATCACAATAATAAAAATGATTAAATAAATTTAAAATAAATTTTAAAAATATATTATTTTGATACAAATTGTGTGATGAATAATATTTAATTTTGTATATTAATTATTGGATATATATGTACCTAAAATAAGAAAATGCCAGAAAAATTGAATTTGCTTATTTATTTAAAGATGCTTATCATATACAAAAATGAATGATATAATCTCTAAAAACTTACCTTTAAAAAAAGGTAAAAAAAGGCGACCAGTTAAGGGCACACCATTAACAAAAATTATCCATTGCAAACCCATGTACAATAGAATTGTATGAAAAATTATCGATTATAAACCAATGTACAATCGTAACAAAAGTAATGAATAAAAAAAAAATTGCGCCTAGTGAAAGTAGAAACTTGTACCAGTGGAAAATTAAAGTTGCAGACATATATAGAGTCGTATAATGAATCAATAAAAATTTAAATTTGCAAATGTAGAATTGTACCATAAAAAAACTTATCTTTAAAAAAAAAGATAAACAAGATGCCAAGTCCATGCGCCATGTGAAAAAGTGTTAAACAAAAAAGTATTTTTAAGTAAAAAAATCTATCAATTGACAAAAATTTATGTTCTAAAATTAATATCTCTACAAAAAGTAATGTCCAATTATTGCGCGAATAAATAAACATTTTTATAAAAAATTAAAATTTAAAAACTTATGCAAATTTAAAATTAATATAAAATAAAAAGAAATAAAAATTTTAGTTAAAAAAACTGGGCGCGCTGCAATGAGTTTAAAAGTAACAATTTAATTTTAATATCATTAGAATATTATTTAGCAGCGCGCCCAGTTTTTTTAACTAAAATTTTTTTATTTCTTTTATTTTATATTAATTTTAAATTTGCATAAGTTTTAAATTTTAATTTTTTATAAAAATGTTTATTTATTCGCGCAATAATTGGACATTACTTTTTGTAGAGATATTAATTTTAGAACATAAATTTTTGTCAATTGATAGATTTTTTACTTAAAAATACTTTTTTGTTTAACACTTTTTCACATGGCGCATGGACTTGGCATCTTGTTTATCTTTTTTTTTTAAGATAAGTTTTTTATGGTACAATTCTACATTTGCAAATTTAAATTTTTATTGATTCATTATACGACTCTATATATGTCTGCAACTTTAATTTTCCACTGGTACAAGTTTCTACTTTCACTTGGCGCAATTTTTTTTTATTTCATTACTTTTGTTACGATTGTACATTGGTTATAATCGATAATTTTTATACAATTCTATTGTACATGGGTTTGCAATGGATATTTTTGTTAATGGTGTGCCCTTAACTGGTCGCCTTTTTTTACCTTTAATATAAACAGATATTTATATTTATTTAATTTTATTTTGATTGCTATGATACTTATTAAGAAATTATTGTAGTTTATAATTTTTATAATATACTTTTCGAAATAATTGATGTAATATTTCATTATCACATATTTGTTATCATAAGATTAACACGCTATATTATGTAAATTTTAGTAATTTAAATATTTAGATTTAGACATATCAGTACTATCGAGATTCCACACTGTGAATTTAGGCAAACATTTTTTATCGATTATTGTATGTGTCCATAATCATGCGAGAATCCAAAATATGATATGCAAGTATTACTTACATTAATATTGCTGTATAATATTTATTTTGGATGTATGATTTATAAAGTATTTACATTTCCAAAATTCTACACCGTTAAGATATTTGCGATTAACGTGCCGGAAAAGGACGTAATTTTATCAATTACTGATTTGAATAATGAATCTCGAAGGTAAAATTGCGCGAAGTTACACGTCATTGAAAAGCTATTATCCGATATATTACGATATGCAAAACGGTATTGTAATAAACTTGTAAATTTCTTCATTCTTTTATGGATGGATTGCAATGTACGAACATCTCGTAGTTTTGCATACCGCAAGAAATCAATTTCTTGGTCATGTCATAAAAGAGGAATAAATATTCTCACCTCAACGTAGAATACTTGTCAATATGATTTATTCAATAGTTTGTATTTCAGCAATGAAAGAAGAAGTTATTATTTAGACATTTATTCGCGATTGTGTCATCTTCCCATCCGATTTACAGCAAATAACTCTGAACAGGTTCGCGAAATAGGAAGTGCAAAATTTATACGCGTATATTTCAATTTTAAGACAGATTTCTATTTACATCACAAACATATATATATATATATATATATATATATATTTTTTTTTTTTTTTTTTTTCGTGCTAATATCTCTCATGCCTTAGATAAAAATTATAAAGTTAATGCAACAATGTTATTGCAAAAATGCAAGGAGAGATTCACATCTGTGCTTTCGCACGGGCACTAGTAGAATGCATCAGCGAAAGTTGCTCGGTTACGAGCGAAATTTTTCTGCACATCTCATAAGGCATCGTAAATCTAACGGGATGCATCCAGATGTTATCACGACAACAAGAGGAACACGATTAACGAAGAGGAAGCACAGAATCGCTCCAAGAGACATTGAACCGACTGATAAAAATACAGGTAAAATAGAACACATTGACTTTAATTTAATTTAATTTAATTTAATTTAATTGATAACACACTCTGCAAAAATGTGGTCAAATTAAATTGAGTAAGAATAAGACATTTATTTTTGATTAAATATATGCATATATATTCAATTTTAAAATTGCATAGGTATTAATTTTGGAAGATAAATTCTAATCGATTCTTTTTAATTATTTTCTTTGCATAAAATTCGAAGTAAAAGGCAATGTTAAATAAATTCTATATTCTCTCATTTTTTCCCTTGCAGATTCGGAAGCATGGGACAATTGGAGTAATTAGAGCACATGCAGCGTGACTTGTGGACAAGGACGACAAGTTCGTTGGCGTCATTGTTTGTCCGAAAATTGCATCAAAGGTCTCAAGAAAGCGCAACTGAAAGGTTGTCGTCTTAAGGATTGCGATACCAAAGGATTTCTCGGTTGGCTCGGAATAAAATCTTGATCTGTGTAAATTTCAAAGGTGAAGAATAATTTTCCCAATATGCATATATTATGCGTATATATATATTGTGTAATACAAAAAATACATTTTAATAATCTTAAAAGTGTTGTGTATGAATAAGAAATTTTTATTTTATTTTATATTGCGATATAAATAACGTTTCTGTTACTCGAAATAAAACCTCGATCAGAGAAAAATGCAAGTATATATTAGTGTTTTAATTCGTAAAGATTTTTTTATCCATTTGTAAAAAATTAGATTTTATAAAATTGCATTTATTAACACGAGAAATGGAAATTAAAATATTTATTTGCAAAGCAAAATTGATAGACGTACATATATTGATATATTTATAAGAAGTTTAAATACTATATATAAAAATTGAATAATTTGATAGTCTTTTATTCGTTATATAGTATAGTATATACGAATTAAATAAAATGACATTGGTATGATGCAAACTTGAATAATTGTGATAGCTGTGACAATTATGATATTTTACACATAATTTTATAGAAAATAAAATTGATAATACGAAAAGTTATATTAATATGAATCGAATTCAATTAATTTCAGCTCACTTTGTCATATTCTTGTTTTTTATGGGTAATTGCTGAAATATTTCATTAACTTTTTAATAATGTAATAATTTTTTTTTAATTTTAGCATTCAAGAAAGCTACTCCGGAGAGTGACAAAATATCGTCAAATAATATTACTCCTACTCTTTCAAAAAGTGATCTCACAAACAAACTCGAGATAAAATTGAATAGACTCCGACGTAAAAATTACAATTCGGATCGCTATACTAATGATGATCACAAAGAGGATGACAACATTCGGAGACAGATAAAACGAGCAGGTAAACCATTTTGATTGTACATAAAATTTTATATTTATAATTAAAAAATATAATTAAAGAGATTATAATATAGAGAAAAATATAATTAACTAGTAGGCAGATTTAAATAGTCCATATATTTGAATTTGACTTTTAAAACTGTGCAATAAATATAAGATTTTATTATATAGTTACTAATTTATTCTTCATTGATACCTGTCACGTAGTTACATGTAATTACACGTAATATCAGACAAATAAACAGAATGGCATGATCATCCAATGTGTGATAGGATAATGAAGACTGCAATCTAGCTGAGATTATAGTGCAATGCAATTATACTGCGTGCAACATGCGCATTGCACGAGATATAGTAAATAAATAAATAAGAGTGGGCGTGAAGTCGTGACCGCAAGTCATCGTATACACTCGGCATCAGGCTTTCTCCAAGACCGGTTCGAGATTTACCTTCTCGCAATACCGATTATCGAAATGCACATAAACATTTGGGCCGGTTGTTGGAAATTTCTGTGGTCTGCTTGGCTGGAATGTTTTTTTTTTCCTTTTTGCAATTTCTACGGATTGAAATTCTTGTCGATATTAACAAAACTTTTTTATAACTGGAATTCAACGTATTTTTATTTATTTATTTCTCTAATATTTTTTTATCCAAGAACGTTATTTCGGTACTTAATCATAACCGATAGAATTTGATTTGACCCATATTGAAGGACACCCGGTGAAAGGAAGTCTCATATAATAACCATAAAGTTAAAGCGGTGAATGGAAGTTTCTATAGGAAGCGTTTGGTTGAAATGTTTTCTTTTAATTTTTAACCTAACCCTCCCATTGGAGAACGAACGAGTGAAAGTTATCACGCATGAACACAACATTTGGAAATATAGTGGAAATTTCCATAGGATGTTCGCAGTTAAATATTTTCTTTTTCACAAAATAAAGACGAAAACAATATAAAACCTTTTATAAATTAAAAAATTTACAATATTAATTTTCTCTGATTGCAAAAATAAATGTTCTTAAATTCTTTTATTAATCTACAATTTATATCTGTGTAGAAAAAGATGGTATTTCATTAATTTTAATTTAGTTATTAAAATTTGATATGATCCACGAATGCAATTATAACTAGTGCGAAAAATTATGTCGACAGGCAAAAATGATAGAAAACCGAAAATATGGGATCAATGGGGCAATTGGTCTACATGCAGTGTTACTTGTGGAATAGGAAAAATTACGAGATGGAGGCATTGTATAAGTGGAAGTTGTTCCTTAGGAGAGAAGAAAGCTCAATTAAAAACTTGCACTTCTGCAGCATGTTAAAATATTCTGAATAGACAAGATAGCTGTATAAGAATAATATATATAATAACATTATTAATAAAAACAAATATATTTTTATTTCTGGAAATTGTAAGGTGTATTTTATTAATTATATTATAATTGTACTAGTATTTTATACTTTATATAATGCAAGGCATAACAGAATTTAAATACATTTTTAGAAAATTTGAGAAGAGGAGAATTAAATAATCTTTTTATAACATTTCTCTAAAATCTAAGAATGTAAAAAATGAAATAATGTCATTATATAAATAATGATTGCACTAACAATAAAAAACAAATATATATATAAAATCTTATGAGTTAAATAGCTATTATTTCTATGATATGAACAGCTAATACATAACAGAAATTAAAAAATCATCAAATTTGTCCAATGTTCACAACTTTTGTTTCATAGTTATTTAGATATTACTGATTTACTTAAGTTTATATTTTTCTGAATTTAATCCAATAGCAGATATTCCATATTCCAAACCTTTTTCATATGCAAGTTGTATTTTATTCTTTTGAAAATAGTCATCAGACTTGTAAATTACTGGTGATTTATATATTGACACCGTATTTGATACCACAGGTTCTTGAGTTTTTTTCTGAAATATAAAAAAAAACTGATCAAATTCAAGTTTTTTACATAAGAAATTACTGCGTAACTTTAATACAAGAAAAATATATGAATTTCATATACTTTTATGTATGTAAAAAGAGAATATAATTATTTTTAATAATACATTATACAAAAAAGATTTCTCCAAGTTACTTACAAAAAATGATAAAGGGTTTAGTATCCCAAATAATCTATCTGATACACCTAATTCTGTTTCTGCCTTATCTACAGTGGCTTCTAGTGAACTTAAATTCATATTGGCCATTGCGACAACATGCTCCAATGCATCTATTCTTCTACAAAGACTGGTCATACCATCCTTCATGTATTGTAATTTTGGAAGATGCTGCTGTATGCACTCTGCACTGCCATTCTCCACCTTACAGAACAACAATGTGTTTAAAATATGGATTAGTACTAAGTTATTTGCATTTATGTAGATTCTCGCTGACCATTGTAACAATTGATTGATACTCTTCCAGTCGTATCAATGTATCCTCAATAATATCACGGAAATTTCTCATCTGTAAGCATGTGTCATTTAATTAAATTGATCAACAAATCAAGAATTTATTTAAACAGCAGGAAACAGATGATACACTCGCCTGATTGTCCCAATCCACTTTGGCATAATTCCCATAATCTTTAACCAACTGTTCGGTCAATTCTGTCGTATGAGAAGATGACATTTTACTAATAATACGTAATTAAATGTACATCAAGATATGTATGTATGTTATTATAGGTTAAAACAAATATTTAAGTATATATGGATAAAATGACTTGTTTTATATCAAAAAACAATTGGATATGTTTCAGTAACTTTGACATATTGTTCAAGATAAGTGAAATGTCAAATTATGATCAAAAGCAATTCATTAATCTGAAAATTCGTGTATATTCCTTTCTCTATTATGTCAGCTCCAAGTGTCAATAATAATACTGCGTGTGCGTAATCGATTTATTGCGCGCTAAATTTGAAATCTATTATATTTGAGATGAATTTACAATGACTTGCAGCTAAAATAATCCATGTCCTTCCACAAAATTAAAAGATTAATTAAACTAAAATTTTCGTTAAAAGAAAAATAAATCTAATAAACAAGTTTGAAAAATAAAAAACTTAATTGTATACAATAATAATTTAATATAGGCTTTCTTTAAAAACTTTTTGAAATTTTTTTACTTTTATGTTAAATACTTCTTTAATTAAACAACGTTAAAAGAACTTTGATAAAGTAAAAAATGGTTGTGAATTTAATATCAAAGATTAATAATCTATTTAATGTTATCACAAAGATGATATATAAATAAATATTAAAATATTAAAATTTATTTTTTACATCAATAATTTAATTTAATAATATTATATACACACACACATATATATATATATATATATATATATATATATATATGGTGTGTGTATATAATATTATTAAATTAAATATTGATGTAAAAAAATAAATTTTAATATTTTTAATATTTATTTATATATCATCTTTGTGATAACATTAAATAGATTATTAATCTTTGATATTAAATTCATACACACATATATATATATATATATATATATATATATATATATGTATATAGGTTTTTTACATATGTATAAGAAACATTATGTCAAGTCATATAAGTAACTTGCAAAAGACAAAAAAAATTGTTATAATGTAAGATTATATACATATAATTACTTATTGACTTGACGTTACTTATATGACTTGACAAAATGTTTCTTATACATATGTAAAAAACCTGTAATATTTAACATTAATAATAAATAGATTTTCTTTTGCAAGTATAACAAATTGTTGAAGATCAAGAGGATTCAACAAATGTTTTTAAATATTAAACGAATGCAATTTGTTTCCGATTCATGGAATAATGTTTTTGATAAGAAAAACATAAATGAAATATATATTGGCAAAACGGGTTAAATAAAAGCACGAGAGCTGTAAACAATGCGCAAATCTTCTAGATTAAAAATAAATTTAATGAACTTTTCGATCCCGCCTTCGGATCATCTTCAGCATATCGACGTAGATGTGTATTTATTACAATAGATGATAAATGTAGACCGGATAAACAATCAAGTCTTTCAGCAGTACTAATAATAAGCACTTAATTATCTTATTGGTCCACCTTGACCTATCAACATTGAGTTGCGTCTTTAGTTCGAAGACGTAACTCAATGTTGATAGGTCGGGGTGAACAAATAAGATAATTAAGTGCTTATTATTAGTGCTGCTGAAGGACTTGATTGTTTACCCGCTCTACATTTATCATCTATAGTAATATGAATACACATCTGCGTCGATGCATATGCTGAAGATGATACGAAGGCGGGATCGAAACGTTCATTAAATTTATTTTTAAGGGAATGCTGGAGTGACTTGAGAAGTCAGTTGTTTTTTTAATAAACTATAAATCTATTTATTGGCTATATAAATTGTTTTTTACCTGAAATTAGAACGCTTCCTCCTTTGTTAATTTTAATACTTTAATTTGTACAGGAAAAAGATTTATCACAATCTGTATAGTCTTATATATCTTGGTTACATAATTATGAATGCTCTAAGCATATATATACCCAGATAGCACAAGACGTCCTATGGACGTACATTTAATATCCATTTTACGTATGTACGTCCATGGACATGAAATGAACGTCCATTGTACATCCGATTTCGGACATCCATCAGTGACTAATATTTGGACGTCCACAGGATGTCCATCAAATTCTCTTACAGCACGAAATATTGCTAAAATATTGCATAAATATTTTATTTCATTGTATCATAATAAATATTGAAGCAACATTGTGCAAATATTATAAATTTAATATTTTATTGGAGACATTGCAAAATATACTATGCAATATTATCTTGTAATAGTTCCTTCATTTGCCGCTATGCGACGCAAGATTCGCTGTTCATCTCGCTATTAAATTTAGTTAAGAGAATTATAAAGCGCATGCAAAAAGTGGCTATTACAGTTAAATATGTTATAATTATTCTGATCAGTTTAACCTTTCTGATACTATCCCAACACAAAAAATGTAGATATTGAATTAATTGAAAAAATTGAACAAATAAAAATTCGGATAAATAAAATGCGAAAATAAGAAATATTCTGCAATATTTTATGATTAGTATAAAAATGAATTAATTTTGCATGTCAAATTTATTATTGCTTATAAATTTCTTCTTTATGAATTTTAAATGTCATTTTCAATGATATACATGTATAATAAAGAACCAAAATATGTTTATTAAAGATTTAAAATTATTCATAAAAGATCCAAAATTCGTCCATTAGATCCATAATTAGTTTATATGAAATCCAAAATTCGTCCGTTAGATACATAATTTATCCATTTAAAATCCATAAATGATTAATAATGGACGACTTATGGACGTCCAGACCAGTTGCAAACGGACGTACAATGGACGTCCCTTGTACGTCCGCTGCAGGTAATCTGGACATCCGATGGATGTACACAATGTCCGGATCGGACATCCGTTGTACGTACATAGGATGTACTTGTGCTTATTGGGTATATATATATATATATATATATATATATATGTAATCAAGATATATAAGACTATACAGATTGATAAATCTTTTCCTCCTTTGTTAATTTTAATACTTTAATTTGTACAGAGAAAAGATTTATCAATCTGTATAGTCTTATATATCTTGGTTACATAATTATGAATGCTCTAAGCATATATATATATTTTATTTATGTTTTTATTATCAAAAAGATTATTCCATGAATCGGAAACAAATCGCATTTGTTCTAATTATTTAAAAAATTTGTTGAATGCTTGATCGTTAACCATTTATTACACTTGCAAAAGAAAATCTACTTATAATTACTGTTTAATATTACAGGGTTTTCACACTATATAAGAAACATTATGTCATGTTATATAAGTAACTTGCAAAAGAAAAATTGCTAAAATTGTTATAATGTAAGATTTGGTGAAATTATAAAAATTACATTATCTGATTGTTTTAAGTTTATTTCAATTATATATGTAATTCCGTTAAATAATTCTGATTAATAAAAGGAGACATAGTTCGATATAATTTCAAGAATTGATTCAAGATATAGTTTACTTTAAATTACATTTTGCTTGAGCATTTGAAATTACTTAAACAAAAGTTACTATTATCCAATAATTCATTTAAAATTATATAAAAATATTATATAAAAAAATTTAGTGTAATTTGGCCGTATAATTTTTTTGTTAAATTGTGCATTTCTTTATGCCATTTATTTACGCAATAGAAATTTACGATAATATGCGCATCATACTAAGTATTAGAGTATTATATATTGCATATATTTACGCAATACAGAGAAACCTTTTTTTTACAATACGTATTAACTAAACACTGAAACATTAAACATTTATGTTATTACTCACTGACTTATAAAAAAGTTAAGTATTCTGTTTGAATATGATATAAGAGAAATCTACTTAATTATTGCAGTATGTAGTACAAAAAAATTAAAAAAACTTTAAATACATACTTAGAAATAAACAGGCTATTAAAGCTGAACGTGAACATTTGTACGTCATATAGCGTAAATTAAGAAAGAAAAATAAAGGAACTTTAATCTCTTTTGTTTTATCAGTGTTTAGCCTAAAAAATAGTTTAATAGAAGACAAGTAAAATTTTGTTATTTAATTATATTTAAATAAAAACTATTAATGTATATTTTTTAATAAAAGCTATTAATGTAAAATATTTATAAGTTACACGTAATCTTTACATTATCTGATAAAAAAAAATATAGAGCGAAATGCAAGAAATGCATTATCATGTTTTATGTAGTAATGATTTGAAATACTCAATTGCACAATTTTATTACGCTACATGTTATAATAATAAGTTTTCAATAATTTGTGAAAAAAGGAAAGCAATTATTAGATAAGTTTGTTAATTGATATGTGCAAGAATAATATTATTAAATTCTAATATCCCTAGCATAATAATATTCAACATATATTGTAAACATAAACACGATTACGAAATATAGTGTTTATTTTTTTGCATTAAATTAATCGTTCAAGTTTTAATCTCAATAATTAAGAATTAATTTCAATTAAGAATTAATTTCAAACTAATATTGTAAATGTAAAATTTTGCTTTAACTTGTATTAGATTATAATAGATTATCAGAGTTAATAATGTCGAACTTTTTCTATCTTATGTGTAAAAGAAAATTCTAATTGTATAGTAAAATATAATAAATTTTGTAGTAAAATAGAGTAAAAAAACTTTAAAATTTTGCAGATATGTTTTTCTCTTCAAGAAGAATGTAACAGAAAAAATTATGATGTTATATACATATATAAGCAAATGTTTCTTTTGACGTATTTTTTCTGTTTTATTTTATTACGCACTATTTAACTATTTAATGTTGTACTTTAAACGTTGTTTATCGAGTTTTTTATTTTATTAATTTACAAAAAACAGCTTATTATTTGAATAATATTTATTGTAAAAATCCCGGAAAATTTGTGTATATATAATTTTATATATTAATTATATATAAATAATTCCATAATTATACAATCGTAAAATTATGTGTAAAATACGTCCATTTTTATACATAATTATATAAATTTATATATAAATTATGAAGATTCATATTGTATAATCATGTCAAATTATATATGAAACATATATATTTATATATATAAAAAAATATTTATTTATTATATATATATATATATATATATATATATATAAATTTATATAATTATATAAAAAGCACTTTTATCTAATTATGTATGAACATATTTCATATATAACTTTGCGATTATATGTGTATAATTTTATATATTTCTATATAATTTTATATTGTTAAATATAAAATTTTTTTTCCCGGAATCAAATGATACATAATGCAATGCGGTTACATTGATAATAAGATTCAACAATTATATACAAGAGATATGAAAAAGATTTCCGAGCGCATGACATTTATTTATATTCTTATTTATATTCGTAATAAACAGAATTTGTATTGTTGAGAAGTCGTAACCAATTTTATCTTAATTAACTTTATAATTAACACTGGCAATAAGTCAAGATTTCGATTAAACCGGAATTAGAAACGATTTAAAAAATGTAATTAAAACGTAATTCACATCTTTTAATTTATATAATTTATTTTTTTATTAATTTAAAGTTTATGATTCATAGTTTATTCATTATTTATAATAATATAGTTATATAATATCGTATTGTTTGACGTAAGAAACTATGTGTACTGTAAAATACATCGAAAATCAATTAGAATTTAAGTATAATGTGCTCTGTTATGTTAATATTTATTAATCTTGTATTAACAATCTAAAGCCAAAATAGATTACAGGTTAACTGAGTTTAAAATTTCAAATATGAAATTAATTGCGTTTCATCGATTGCTTCATTCTTAATAGATTGACATGCTGATTGTTCCAACTTATTAGGAAATTTTATCGGATAGATAGCATATTTTGTTTTTTTTTGTTTTTAATGAAAAGAGAAGATATGCTATCTATCGGATATTTCTCAAGAAATGAAAATTGGGACATACTGGCCCATAGTGAAGCAAATATATTAAAAATAATAATACAACATAAAACTTATCAACATTTCCATAACGCAGAAGTTTATTCCGCAGGTATTTCTTAGCTATAATGTTTACATATCCTTTAAAGAATTTATACGTAATAAAAAATTATAAGTGTATACTGCATATTGTATATGCAAATGTAACTATAAAATATATTTTACAGACAACAAATTAAAACATGTACAAATATGTGCAAGGATATGTAAGTTTTATAAAGAATTAAATACATTTGTATTGCATATTTTTTTAATATAATTATTTTAAAATGTGCTCTCTCTTTTCTCTTTTTAAAACACTTCTTTGTTTTAAATGCCTGTGTATCTTACAAAAGTTGAGGTCAGATTTTATTACCTAAGAATTTTTATTAAAATTTTGACAAACGTTACCTTGATCATCTCATAGATCATCCTTGGTCACTTACGACATTTAATGTGTCAGTCTTATGATTCAATTAATTCAATTCACTCGTCGACGTGAAAGTTTGACGCTTTATTAAATTTATTTTTGAATTATTTTTGATTACGTAAGAAGAGAAATAGATTGAAAGATATTTTAATTACATCTATTATTTGCTTCATCCGCATTCACTTTTAGAATCGATATGCTTTACATTTTAAATTTTCATTATAAATTCAAAAATTGATGAAAAACCTATAATTCTAGATTGCTAACATGCATTTATTTTTTGAATTTGTAATACTAAACACGACGCAATTTGTGAAAGTGCAATTCAGCGCTTACTTTTTTTAGCTTGCTTTGCACCGTAGAATTTGTTAGCGTAACTCTATTACTGTAAAACTAGATACTGTGTGTGGCTATAGATAGTAAAATTGTGAAAGGTTAGTCATTTGACGAACATTAGCTTGCATTGTAGGTCTCTGGATGCTCTTATGTGGAGTTCTCTTAAAAAGAAATAAGATTCCATTTACAGAAGTGTACTTATCAATCCTTTTAGTATCCGCTTTCTTTCTATTAACATCTCGACATATATGGCATTTTTATTTTGTAATGTAATTTACAATTACATACGTAACCAATATATGTCAACCTTTAATGCAATATATCTTTACATTATCTTTATATTTTATACAAAAACCATAATCTGTGAAATTGAGGACAAAATTCTCTATATTAGTTTAATGTTGTATATGTATAACAGGAAAATTATAAGAGTTAAATTAAGAAAGAAAAATAATTTTTTACGAATTATTTATATCGATACGACAATATTTTTAAAATTTTTTGAAACTTTTTGAATTGTACAGTTTTTCTTCTAAATTAGAAAAAGCATATAGAGAACAGAAAGAGAATTATCATTTATGTTTATATACACAATGTATAAATATATAGGATTTCTATTCTACTATTTTTTCTATACAATAGGTATATTTTTTATTATATACGTGCGTGCACGTATATATGTAAGATGTTTATTTGTATAATTAAATGGCGCAGAAAATAACTAGACAATAAAAAGGCTTACTTTTTCAATATTTCTACAGATATTTCCTATACATTTTAATTGTTATAAGGAAAATTATGCTAAATTAGAGAAATTATAATAATTGATATATTCAATGATGTTTTAACTTCATCTGAAGCTAATTGTTGAAAAATGACTAATGCAAGTGTAACTGCGTAACGTGTTTTAAATGCATAACAATAATCTTATACCAATAAAATCACTTTGTACGTAGGTCTTTTTATGGAGTATGTTTTATGAACTGACGTACTAATGGCTATCATACTAATCATCTTGATGAAGACTAAGCACGGCAAATGTTACATAAGATATTAAAGAGCCTTCTTTTATTTTTACAATTTTATTGCTTAATTACTTTCTTTCCCTGATATTCTAATCTGCTAGTGTATTAGTAGATTATTAGCTTTCATAAAAAAGTAAAGATGAATAACATAAATAAATACAGCGTTTCTTTAATCATAATCTTAGAAATCACATTAATATTTTTCACAAATTATAATCTTGCGTCAAACTTTTTGCACATAAAGTATACATTCCATAAAATTTGCGGTGTAAGCAATAAGTTTTTGGTTTCCAATTCTAACTATGTTACATCAATTTCAAATGTGTATTTTATTAATTTTTATGAGTACTTTTAATATTCCACTTTTCTTTTTCTTTGCACAATTTTTTAAATATTTTTTCTTATAAATATAATAACGTATTTATATATAACGTATTCTAAAAATATATTTTTTAATGGAAATTTAAAATCTTATATTTCTACTGCTAAATAAGATAAAATTAAACATAGTTTGCATATTAATAATATGTAATATTAAAATATATTTTGTATCTCTTCCCGCTCCCTTTTTTATTTCTTTTTTATGTTATTTATTTATGGCACTAATTAACTTTTTCAGCCTCCAGTATTTTAAATTTCTTTATATTTATTTAAATAAAACTCTTTACGTGAAAACATTATGTGATATAAATTGTGTCAAAAATATAAAAGTATTTAAAATTATTCATTAAAAAATATCAACGTATTTAAATGGTATAAATATTTCATAAAAAACAAGTAAAAATTTTTTTTTCCGTAAAATATTAGTGTTTTGCCTGTCTTAATTTCACAAATTCCACATATTTTAATTACATCAGCTGATGTTTATGTTACATAATAGTGTAACGTTTATGGTGTTCTTATGTTATTTCGTAAACATCCAAGAATGATGAAGGTCTATGAACTCATAACTCACAAGAACGAGAGAGTGAGAGTTTAAGAAAATTGACACAGACTAGATTCTTCTGAACAGGAAGCTAATTAGTCGAGGCTGTCGCAATTGTAACATAATTTACCGCCAAACAGCAACAAATCATTCGCGTAAAAAATTTCTATATAGCGCAAATCTACCACATAAATCAAAGACAAATTTTTATTTTTTGTAGCATTTGTAAATCTACAATTATGACAAATGCAAAAAGCAAATTCAATATTTATCAAATGCAATATTTTTAATTATATCATATGCGATAGTATCAAATGTGTTGATCCTTTCATTTGATATATGGCTAAAGTTATTTAATGTTAAATAACAGCAATTTTTAAAATAACTAAGAACTTTTTGCTTCTTTTTCAATATACCAGTAATGATTTGAAAAAAATACCATTGATTCAGTGAAGCTTACGGGTAGTTACACAAAATAGCTGAATAACCGGCAAGCAAAGAACAGGTATGTAGCTCAGTGTAACAGCTATAGTTACCTGCAGGTGGGGAAAGAAACAGAGAGCGGGAGAAAAAGAGAAAGAACGAAAGAAAGAGAAAGACCGACAGATCGTTCTACAACAGTACAACTTTCAGCACGGATTACGCTGGAGCTCAGTAAGTTCGCGAGCACGGAGTACGCGCGATCCATTGTCGGAAAATAGCAAACGCGGCCGAAACAACGCACTGATCATCGACGAACGAAGGATTAAATCGAACGTGTGAAACATCATCAACAGGTACCTCAATAGTATCCTCGCTCATTATTTATATATATCATATATTGTTAGTTTAAATTTATTTTTTTAAATTCATTGTCAATTTTCGAATGATTTTTGCCACTCCACGTATATACTGATGAACAAAATTTTTGCCCGATATAATTAAACTTGCTGACAAATTTTAATTTTTCATCAAACAATTGATGCTTAACGTAGTTCGTCAGTTGCATTTATTTTTACTGTTGGATTAAATTATAAATAGCAGATTTTTTCATTTTTTAACTCGATTTCTCTTTTTATTTATAGTACATCATCAGCGATTTTATCACTTGAGAACCACATCCCTTGTAGAAATTTTTATCACTATAATAGTAACGCCAATTAATCACTTATTTCGAGTACTTAAAATACTGATATACAGTAATTTAAGTACTCGAAATAAGTGATAAATTGGCGTTACTAGTGATAACCCTATAAGCGCATGACATTATTTAATATTTAAGCAATATTCTAGGCGTATTTTTAGAATATTTAATATTCTAAGAATACGCCTAGAATATTAAATAATATCATGCGCTTATAGGAAAATTTCTATAAGGGCTAAACATGAACTAGATGAAATTGACATCTCTACTTATAAATATTTCCCGATTTAATTTTTATATTGGCGCTCTCTTTTTCTATATACTTGTGTAAGTTTAAATAAGCATAATTATCAAATAATTTTTTTTTATTTCCATAATACATTTTACCTTCTTTTATTTTTATTATTTTAATTTACCAATGGTAATACACGGATGTGTATTAACATTATATATGGATGATGATGCATAGAATAATGTTTGATGTTTGTTCTTGTGTGAATAAAAAATTTACATCTATTCACATTTCAATTTACTTTTGCGGATTTATGGTAGATCGCGTTGTTCCTTGTGCAAACTATCGTTATGCTAACACACAAATTCTAATGTGCCATGTGATGTAATGCTTAAACTGCATACGTATTGCGTATTACATGCGTGTATTCCGTGCTTAGCAGTGCGTAGAAATGTGCGTTTCCTCGTTTGATGAAAGATATATAAATAAGATAAAAATCATCTTACCGTATTTTTTAATTGTCGTGTTACGCAACATATCATTACAGTATTTGCAATAATGTGTACCGATTAATTACGATTAAGTTAATACGACCAAAAGCGAGCAAATTAAGCTACGAATTAATATTAAACAAATAAAGCTTACATGGATCTGTCATTCCTGATTACGAAAATATTATAATGGTTATTGACATATGCAACTTTTCCTTTCGAATCGAAATGTAATTTAACCAAAAATGTTAAAGGCGGAGTGGCAGTTTTTGCAGAAATAATACAGTAATATGACTCATAACAACTTCATTTATCGGCGCCCTGTTATTTCGAGTAATTTGGTCCGTGCAAAAGAGAAGGTGAAAGTGCAAGTGCAACAAGCACGAAACGTAATGCGGATTCGATATCTTTAAGTGATGCACACTATCAATTACATAAACGTACGAAATTTTGATTGTGCAATTTCTGGTCACATTTCAGTTTGATTGACACTGTCTGTATCTTTAATGTCAGCAAATATTTTCTGCTCTTCCTTATTAACTTGACTGTGAAATTTAATAATGCAACCGTGGCAAATCGTGCGTAAAATCGCTCAAACATCATCATTGTCATCATCATCATCATTCATTAAGATTCCTTCTTTAAACTTTCAACGTGAAATAAATATATACATACATATATATATATATATATATATATATATATAAGATTAATTAATGAAAGGCTCGTATAAATTAACAAAATTAAACAAATCATATATAGTAGGCCAACTGAACGAGCAAATAAATAAGGTGTAAAATTTTTTATTAATAGTTAAATAATTAATTAACATTCCGTTACAGAATCGATATAAATTGTAAACGTTTCGACTGCACTACAGTCTTTATCAATACATAAAAGTTAATATTAAAATACAAAGTTAAATGTTAAAAATACAAAGTTGGTTAAATATTAAAATATAAAATTGAAACGATTCTTCGCTGTTGACCAATAGATATGCAAGGCGATTGGTCTGAGATGCCAAGTTATGCGACATTTGAGCATGATTATCGTTTTAACAAGTCCTTTTCCCCGATATTTCAAGTGTGTGTTGCGAAGTCTGAATACCAAATGTCATATATATACATATATATATATATATATATATATATATATGTTACAAAATAAATATAATCGAAAGAGAATATAATTTCGGCAGCAATTTCGTAATTGAGTGGTATGCAATGTATGCATGCAATCTTATGTAAATTTGAGGCCGACATTAATTTAAAATTAATGTTATTTATGATCAAATTAGTTTTAGCTTTGTATTTTTTGAAAATATATATTGCATTCAAACTTTAGTTGAAAATTATGTTTAGATACATCCTAAGTATAAACAATTAATATGTTATATATTCAAATACATGATATATATAGAAACACCTGCACATATTGCAAAATCTTTTTACGTCATTTTGGTAAAAGTAATTGCCCCAGATACTCGTGATCTCTTAGCCTTCAAAAAGTTTACTTTTACAAAAAAAATACGAAGAATAAAGACAACAATCTCTCGAAGCTTCGAATGCATATTGCAGCTTTAAAATTCTTTTACAGTTTTTTCAGAAAAAATAATTACAACACGCATATATATTTGCGAAGATAACTCATCGAACATTAAAATTTTATAATGTGGATATTTGCAGTTGTGCAATTATATTCAAATACCTAACAAAAAAATTACCATGAAAAAGATCTGATATAATGATGTGTTTTGTTACGATTTTTTAAATACAAAGTTATATACTTATATTCAAAGAACGTCATATGACAACATTTAATAATGATTCTAAATTACCTTAATGTAATTTTTTAAATTTAAAATCATGTACTTATATATATATATATATATATATATATATATATATATATATATGTATAATCACATCTATATATACTCTCATACGATTTGAATGCTAAAAAAGTTTTTAGCATTCAGAGATACAAATTGGACTAGGAAACTAATCGGTTGAATGTAAATAAAATCAACTTACTATCGATTTATGTGATTCTTATTTGCGCAGAAGTTTCTATCAACGAAACTTTTGCGCGCAAAATTATGCGTGCTGCGGTAAAATAACAAACCGCCAGACCAGAAAGATGAATACGGTGAATTTGAAACAACGTGTGTAACAATTTACAACATTTTGCGTAGTTGTGTAATAATGTGCAAGCGGTATAAAAATTGCACTGCAAATTAAATTTGTGCGGTTTCCTATACATGTTTTACCGCAGTAAAATGCACTTTCTCTTTTTCTGTTTCTTTTTCCGTCTCTTGACCACCAATTTTGCAATATACGATTTTCAGCCATGGACGAACCAAGGTCCACTATTCAATCCTTCTACAAAGACAAGACTATCTTCATCACTGGTGCTTCTGGTTTCATGGGCAAGGTGCTCGTAGAAAAATTGCTGTATAGCTGTTCTGATCTCAACAAAATCTACGTTCTTATGCGAGCTAAGAGAGGTCGCAGTTTCGACAGTCGGCTCGAAGATATATTTAAATTGCCCGTAAGATATACAAATTATAATATTTCCACTTTTATATTAATATCAAGATAATGTCGCGCTATTCAAAAAGATTTTTATAAATCTGAAACATTTTTATAAATGCCATAACGCGCATTTGTACATAAACTAAAACATAAAATATAAAATAAAACATAATCATCAATATCAGACATAAATTTTTATATTAAATGATTAATTATATTGATTTTTTGCTAATGCTAATAAGGCTCGCGATTAAGAAAGCTATGTAAACTTTGTTGACTTGTTAGCTAATAGTTATGTAAAGAATATATTACGAATAAGGCTGATTAAATAAACTCATAAATAGCGTCTTATAAGACGCAACCTTTCTATTTAGAGTTCTGTCAACTTTTCTGAATACACTTTTAATAATTCCTAAAAAAATTGCTTTTAGAATAATACGTTACAATTCTATATATATATATAAATTATAATGCTCCAATCTTTTAAAATTAATTTAAATAGTATTTTTATTTCAAAACATTTTACAATCGAGATTAAGAGTTAATATTATTTTATTATTTGATATACATGTATTATTCCAGCTAAAATATTTGTAAACATGAATAATAATGTACGTATATGCAAAAGATTAATTCCAAATAGTTGTTGATAACTAATATTTTTATAGTTGTTTCAAAGAATACGAACTGAGAAACCTCAAGTTTTGAAGAAAGTGGTACCATTTAACGGTGACATATGTTCGGACAATTTGGGCCTTACTAATGAACAACGTGAGCATCTAATAAATGAGGTAAATGTGGTATTCCATTGTGCCGCTACTCTTCGATTGGAGGCAAAATTAAAAGATGCCGTTGAAATGAACATGGTAAGTTATTAACTCTACATAAAAATGTTGCGTTTTTATATTTTTTATGTACTATTAGTTATTTTTATTATACTATTTTACTGGATGTGACTCTTAATTACAATGATTATTTGTATGCGCACGATACATTTTTATATAATAAAAATTAATATGTCTTTTAGATTTAACTTTGTGTCTAATGTTCTTGATGATATATGTAAAATACATATGAAGTTCGATTTGATTTTCAAGATAGGTACAACAAGGATACTAGAATTGGCAAAAGCGATGAAGCAGCTGCAGGCTTTCGTGCATCTAAGTACAGCCTTCTGTCACGTCGACCAAAAGGAATTAGGAGAGCGTACCTATGACTCTCCTGATGATCCTCAAGATATCATGAGACTCGTTCAATGGCTAGACGAAGATGCTATCAATCTTATTACGCCCAAGTAATTAAATTTGCAATTTTTTCATAATTATAAATATTCAGAATAAGCGTACGAGTCAACGCACGCATTTTTATAAGAGAAAGAGAGAAAAAGAGAGAGAGAGTGTGTGTTATTAATTATATATTTAAATATAATTTTAAAAAATTATAAACTGCGAGATTTTGCTTGCTTAGTTTTGCAATTTTTTTCTAGATTACTACATCCGCATCCAAATACTTATACGTATTCGAAACGTCTGGCTGAAACATTGATATCCAATGAATATCCTAAGCTACCTTGCTGCATTGTTAGACCATCGATCGGTAATTATTGGTATACTGCATTAATTATCAAAGATTATAAAAAATAATTTCTCGGCAGTTGTATGTAAATAAAAAAAATATAAAAATTGCTTAATCTCGTCGCAGTGATACCTTCTTATAACGAGCCGATGCCAGGATGGGTCGACAATTTAAATGGACCTATAGGATTGCTTGTCGGTGGAGGAAAAGGTGTTATTAGATCTATGCATTGCAATGGCAATTATAATGCCGAAGTTATACCGGTTGATTATGCAATTAACTGTTTAATCACAATTGCGAGCAAAATTGCTACTGAAAACGATAAGTATGTATCTCCATTTGATTCAACCTCGTTTTTTTCTAAAACAGTAAAATATATTACTTATAATTTAAATCAAAATAGGATTTATTATTTAACGTTGTGCTTACAACATCAATTTTTTCATCACTAAAGTTAAAGATATTTTTTAATATCAAAATCATATTTTAGATTGTTCAAATTATCTCAGATAAAAAATATATATTTAAGCTTCTCTTACTTAACTTAATAAAATTGATTATAAATACGAATTTATTATCACAATTTCTAAATTATTTAATATTATACAATAGAGAGATTATCAAAAATTTTTTATGTATATTTTATATTGCATTGACTATTTGACTTTGACTATTTTATATTTTGCACGATTTTTACATTTAAATGAATAAGAAATATCAATTTTTTGCTTAATTTCTCTGTTCTATTTATTATTTATAGTGGGAAAAGTATACCCGTAATCAATATAACGCAAGGCGAAATAACACGTATTACATGGGGTGAAATATTGGAGAAGGGTAGGCAAATTATTTATGAATATCCTTTTGAAGGCCAAGTTTGGTATCCGGATGGCGACATACGTAGTAACAAATTTGTGCATAACATCTTTGTCTTTTTCTTCCAAATCATTCCCGCGTACTTTATCGACTTTTTGATGCTGATACTTCGACAAAGAGATTGTAAGTTTTGTGATTTTTAGTATTTTTTAGTATTTTTTTTTTCGAGAGATTATAAGTTTTTCGTATTTTTTAGACATTCTTTTCTCGATCTTTTTGATCTATTAACATTTCTTGTTAACAGTGTATTACACAATTTTATGTACTACATAAATTTCCTTAACTATTATTTTAATTATCTTTATTGTTATTTTTCCAAATAGTATGATCAGAATCCAGAGACGAATTTTAGACGGCCTCGACGTACTGCAATACTTCACCACGCGACAATGGATATTTTATAATAAAAATCTAATTGCTTTGAGCAACGAACAGTCACCAATTGATAGAAAGCTATTTCCAATATTAAATTATAATGTCGACATACCGGGATATTTTAAACATATAATTCTCGGTGCAAGGCAGTACTGTATGAAAGAAGATCTGTCTACTTTGCCGAGAGCCCGTCGACATCAGAAAGTGTGAGTATTCTTTACGTAGATTTATATTTAATTTACATACACATTACAATCAAATTCACTAAATTAATTTAAATTTAAAAATATATCATAAAAATCATTGTATTCTATCAAGCATATATTTGTTTCAGAATGTACGTTGTCCATATCACGACGATATACCTGTTTTACTTCGGCCTATTATATTTTATTTATAACAATGTTGAAATGGTAAGGTTTTTCCTGGATTACATTACGGAAAAAATAAAAGTGCTACCGTTTATAGGCACGTTCGTAGAGATGGTGCATTTAAAATAAACAATCTATTGCATTTGTTTATTATGCATATATATATGTATATGTGATTTGTGGAACGCGATAAGAAGAGAACCGATAATTTTTCAACATTTATTCATTACCTGACGTATCTACATATATTTTTTAACTGCTTATAATTACACGCAATGGGATGTATTTTAAAGGTACAAGGAAATTTTTCTTAATATACTATCGATATAGAAATTTTCCTGCAATTGTCAACATTACTATTATATATAGTTATAATTTTGATATAAATATACAAATTTGATATATTCGCGGGCATTTCCAAAAGAAAAAGGTAGATCTTACTAATCAATTTAATTTTTCTACATAAATAATGTAAGAACATAATTATCTTTAAGAAACTTCAGTATACAAGTTTTCTTGAGATATATATATATATATATATGTATTGTTTTGATAAATATATTATATATATATATATATATATATATGTATGTATTGTTTTGCTAAATATATTATTATATTACCCGAAATATGTATATTTACTGGAATAAAGGTTTATTACACATTACATAAAAAATGGTGTGAAAAATTTATTATACTTTAACTCTGCTTTAACTCTTTCATCATGACAGAAATCCATCTAGTATAATACACATGTAATTTATCATATGTACATACATTATAAATATTTTAAACATACGAATAAAATGTACATCTCATAGTTTTTATATCTTGTAAATTTAAAATAAATTCTATATAAATTTATTGCCGTTTGTTTATATCTTTCTTATTTAATATATTCCATATACATATATACATTATGCACACACATATTATAGAAAACATTCTTTAAATATTTTCCATAAAAATTTATGATCGAAGAAATAATCTAAAAATTAAAATTTAAATGCATGTGTTTCGAAACTTGTGTTGAAAGTTTTAAATCGCTTAAAGTAAATTTTTTATGAAGAATTTTGACATATAAAATCTCTATTTCGGGAAGAATAGTTAAAACGTGTTTGTATCGAGCATGACGCATAAAAGATTCTGCCTTCTTTATAGCCAGACTTTCCAAGGACAAATGTATTTTTGTCTTGGATTGTTTGAAGGCTCCGATCGATTTGATATCATCGAATACCAGCTATGAACTCTGTATCGAGATTTAAGAATACATTCAATTTCCCAGATACCGACTTTCCAAGATATCTCTGACCTCAATCGACGCTTTTCTTATAGGGTATAAAGGAATGTGAACTAACGCTCACAGAACTGCTTCTGTGTATAATCATTTAGTATATTCTATACGTACTCGTTATACTGTTACAAAATATATGCAGCAGTGATATCCGGCTTTAAATCGTACATATAGTCTGATATAAATATTTTTGAAATGCCTCTACAGGATATAAAAACTGTACAATAATTTTGATTAAATAATAAAATTTATATGTCTTATCTATTAGAGCTGCATTTTCGAGAAACCTAGTAGTCATCTTTTATATACGTGCATTCTTTAATAAATTGTGAGCGGAAATTTTCGTTAAGAAATAATCAAATTTTAAATTAAAATGTAAAAAATGGTTCGTATATTTTGAATATCTTATGTATATATAAACACTCTATTTTTACATTGTGTAAAATTAAGACATGTTACATAAGACCATTTACACATGTAATTTTTTAGTATTTATAGGAGTATTATGCAACAAAGTTAATTATATATATACTACCGGCTAAATTTATATCGCCTTTTGATTTTTTCAGTATAACTTGTTTTAAAGTGCATATAATATATTTATATAATTTTAGCCGGTACTGTAGCTATTTGCATTGATAACACGATAATCAATGATTGCCATTGTTCTTGGTATGTAAAGCAAAATTTATGTATAGTCAGCGATATAAAGCAAATTTATGAGCTTCACTTATTGTTAAATCAATTCCATGATTAGCATATACTTTAAAGAAATGTATATAGAAAGAAAAAAAAACAGTAAATTTACGTTGCTTGCAATCAATTAAACAGTGCAATTAAAATAAGAAAGAAAAAATACTTTTTAGATTATTTTATTAGTTATTAAGTAAAAATTACCAACACACAAATTAATTAAAAAATAAACATTTTTCTTATTAAATTTTAATATTATTAATTTTATTGCGATATGTTGTTAATATAAATGTATCAAAAATAAGCTAGTATCTTTAAAATATCTTATCTTTAATTATAACCAATCTAAAGCATGTATTGTAACATCCACGCTGCTAATTATATAGGTCAACCTAAGTGAAAGGAAAATTAAATCGTGTTGCAATAGATAAAAAAAAGCGAAATATCTAGTCGGTAATACAGAATAAACAGATTGTTCCTTTTAGCTTATTTCAAGATAAAAATAGAAGTAAACTTTCCAGTTTTTAAATGGATTAGAACATATACATGCATTTTGCAATCGCTATTTTTATTTTTACAAGAGAAAGAAAAATAAAATAATATAGCATAATATTATATGAACTTTGATATTAATAATGTTTCAATTTATAAACAATTCCTAAATTAAAAATAAAAAATGTAATAAATTTAAAAATAAAGTATACATTTTTTATTTATGTACATAATTGATTTTAAGATTTTTTGTTTTTTCTATTATTATAACATAATAATAAAAACAATGATAATTATTATTATTATATATTAACAACATATCATAGTAAGAATATTGAACTGATCGTTATAAAGTGTTGTTAAAAAATGATTATCCTATGAGATTTCCGTTTCAAACTTTCCACAAACACTTGAGATATATCAACAGCATTTCAAAACGTAAGAAATCGGTAGAAGAAAGGTGAAGGTTCCTTCTTTTTACGGTTTTATATATAACTCTCGCATCGACATTATTTTCATAAGGCATTAAATTCAAAGTTATGAACTAATAAAACTGTTTTTTTATATATTTTAATATATTTTAAATATTTATATATTTTAATATTCATTGCATGTAATTTTTTCTCATTATACATAAATATCCCAGTAAGCAAGAAATATTTACAATAAAATATTAAATTTCGTTCGCCAGGAATGAAATACTAAGATAGTAGATATTAAACTGACTACACTGGCTGTCTATTAGATTTGTTAAACTATATTTATTGACGTTTCGACCATACGGGCTGTGGTCCTTTTCAAATACAGGTATAGTGTGCTCAGTCGTGACAAGATGACACAAGTGAAACGCAGTTAATTTACCATCCGATCTTAAGTTAAGTCTCACCGGAGCGTACTTTTAAATGTCAATAATGATATGCAGTAACTCATTAATGCTTCTATTGTAATTTTGAAAAGGACCACAGCCCGTATGGTCGAAACGTCAATAAATATAGTTTAACAAATTAATAGACAGCCAGTGTAGTCAGTTTAATATCTACTACCTTAAGAAATATTTATCAACATTTTAAAATGTTGATTTTATATAAATTTTCTAAACATTGTGATATATGTTTTATAAATATGTTTAAAATATTTTAATAAACGTATTAATAAATATTTAAAAAATATTTTGACTAATGTTTCATAAATGTTTGAAAATATTATTTAAATGCTCTCAAAATATTAATAAAATATTATTTATAATGCTCTCAAAATATTAATAAAATATTTCAAAAACGTTATTTCAACATTACCGAAATCTCTAAATCGATGTCAAAGTTTGTTCGTAATGATGTTACATACAATATTAAGAACTACATTCTTGACAACATTATTATGTTAATAAAAATTATTATAATAACGTTATAACAATAATTTTTTGCTTACTGGGATGTATCTAAAAATGGAAGATTTGAGTAAAATATAATTGAAAGTAATCACCCCGCGAAATCATCGAAGATTTTTGATTTGGGAAGTAAAAATAAATTTAAATGGAATAATAATATTAAAGCTCAACAATAGAGAAAGGGGTAAAGAATGAAGCAACAGTTGTTAGTTCTACGTAATATAGAGGGATGGCGCTGAGAAATCCCAGCCAACCCCCATTCTATTATTGATCCACCCTTCACATTCCCTTCAGAAAACAGGTAATATTTATTAGCTGTACATATGTCGGTCGATGTACAAGGAGATATCATTTTTCTATTTCAATTTCACTTTCAATCGCGAATAGTTTGATAATAATCTGAAATAAGTAATTGCATCTGGAATTAAGTAGATTTGATACGTCAATCCTGAGGGTGATATATTTATGAGTTTTATTTTCCATTTGTTAGACAAACTCTCACGCAATGACTGTCGAAAAGGTGCTTCAATTTTTCTCTCGAGGTCTCTTAAACGCGATTCCTGGCTAACAAATTTTATTCGACGCATCAGTATTACTTTATATTCCTGCACGTATAAAATAAATATAACGTTTTAAATAAGAGATGTAATTGCTCACACACATGATATAAATGAAACGGTATTCTTTTATGATGAATTACAGCCTTACGTTTAAGAGCTCGTAAAAACGAAGGTTTTGGTGAATATAACATTTACTCAGAGCTGAGAGAACATAAAAAGAGGAAAAAAGTGAGGCTTCGAATAAAAGCTCGAAATAAAAGCTCAAGGCACATGAAAAATATTATGAACATTAAAAAATAAAAATGCTTCTTTACAACTCTCTTCAATTGTTTTGTTTAAGAAACGTATAAAAAAATGAAGTGTATCGTCAATTTCAAGTTGAAAAGCTGAAGAAATTCTTGTCGCTCTGAGAAACTCAGATTTTCAATGATTAAATATTTTAGACTCTAAAGGGGTTTCTACGTACCACGTCTAGGAAAATTTGAATATTTAATAGAGTCTAATTGTAAGACTAACAGTAATGTGGCCTATACATTAAATATACAGAAATATTAAAATATCTCAGATACAGAATAATATATTTCATAATACATTCTATGTGACAAATGCAAAAAATCGTGCCGAATAAAAATGCTAATAATTCGATCCGATTATATTTGATGGTTCCATACCCCTATATATTTTTCAAACTTCTGTGATTTTTATTTTAAATGTTTTTTTTTATTTTTACATAAATAACTGCGATTGAATAAAATAATTTGAATATTTTACAATGCACATTCAAAAATAGTTGCAGAATTATCATCAACTTTAATTTGAACAATAAATAAACATAGAAAATATCACAATTTATATTTTTGGAAGACATTTTAGAATAAATCATTGTGATATTATCTTGTTGAAAAAAGCACATATGCAATTTTTTATTGTATGTGCAAATTATAACTAATTTCGGAATTTTGTATATTGAAATCCAATATAAAAAGATAGAAGTAATTTTATTCATACATTGAATATTGATATAGTGATCGATTTATTAATTAATACTGATAAGTATATTGTTATATTTTTAATATTTTTTAAATATTATTCTAGCATAATTTATAATATTTTTGCGCTGATCTTATGTCATTCTATTTTTTCGTGATATGTGCATATTTTATAAGAAATATCTAGGATAAATCCAGGATTTATCTCAGAATATCTTTTTACTTGTAAACGATCCGCAGTTTTCCTAAAATTGTAATGAGCCAATTGACCTCTTACATTTGTATACAATATGTTGTCGTACGGTGTACAAAAAGTGTCATATCCTTTATATCCTTTATAATATAATTATAAAAATCCTTTACTTATATACTTTCTAATATAACAAAACTTGCAATTATATTTTATTTTCTTATTTTTATATATAAATATGCACGATAGTTCATTGATGGAAAAAATTGATGGAATATATATATATATATATGATTGATCGCAACATATAAGATTTCTGCATATAAATTTTTGTAGAGTACAAATATATATATATATATATATATATATGTGTGTGTGTGTGTGTGTGTGTGTGTGTGTGTGTGTGTAATTTTAATTTAGTATCTTATATATAGCAAAAAAAAAGCATATAAACCTTTAATTGCTTTTAATTACACAAGAATATGATTAAAAAATAAAAACATATTACACACTTAATAGTAACTATAAAAATTTTAATTTTTTTCTTAAATACTTAATAAAGTGTTCTTTTTTTATACTTTTTTTTATTCTTTATATGCATCGCGTAATGCATACTTAAATGCATACTTTGACGTTCACATTCTTAATGAAAATATTATACAAAAAAAGTATAAAAATGGGCTCTTTTTCTTTCAATATTGCAGAAAAATTACTGTATAAGATATCTCTTATCTTTAAGCTAACATTTTAATTTAATTGTGCTATATGTAAATTATATATATATATATATATATATATATATATAATTTAAAGTTTTACATAATGCAAATGTTTAATCCGTATTGTAAATATCGAGTCTCTAAACTTATTTTGAATTTTTTGTGTTGAGATACATATACGCATATTGTTTCTAGATATCTCTTCTAGGTCCTGAAACATTTTTTTCTGTATTTTTTATTTTTTGTTATTATTTATTTCTCAATCAATTTAGAATCTAAAAAATCCACGCAAAATGGTTGTTTAATTTTTCCCGATCCCTAAGCATTTCGCGCGAAATTCGCGCAATTAATTCGACGACGATTCGAGAGAGAAGTACGAGAGACGTACGTCATCCATTAATGACGTCCGGCGTTCCGTATGTGATGTGTAAAACCGTGCCGGTTTCAGCGGGAATGGCGGTAGTGATGAACGCCGACTACAGCAACCACCACGCACGGTCAGGGGCGCGTGCGCCAATTGTACCCCGATGAGCACTCGCGAGGGTTGTTTAAAGTGCGAACTCGCTAAGGACGCAGCAGTCGACGGGTCAGCCTCCAGGAGGCACGATCGCGCTGATCCACGTGACCGCGACCGCGTCGCGCTCCTCCATCGAGAGGTGACTGAAACGTGACGCGTCTGAGATCTCGCGGTTCGGTTCCGCTCCTCCTACGCCTTGACCCCTGGCTGGTCGCCTCGAGCGTTTCACCTGGTTCGATATCGCACGTAGCAACGAAGGGATTCCTCGTCACATAAGGTCCTTGGAATCTCGAGGCCCTTCTCGATTTGAACAGCATCGGTTCATGATGAATGGCGCGAAAACGTTCTCGATGAATGGAGTCATAACCGATACTGTCAGTCACGCGAGAGCAATCATCGAGAATTAGACGAGAAGCAATTCTGTTCAACAACTATAATCGTGTTTCAACAACGGTGCAAGAATGTCGCTCGTCGTTATACTAAAAAATTTCCAAGGTCTTAAATGCAAAGGGGAAAAGGTGGCGAGAATCGATTTTCGAGGTAATTAATAATTTTTGAAATTTTATTTCATTTGTCAAAGTTTGCATAAAATGGTTTTGTCGAAAGAAATTTTTTTCAGAGAATTGTGTTTGAATGATCTTTCTAAATTTGCTATTCAGATTGAAAAAAAAACCGATGTGCAAAATTTAACACACAATGGACTATTTCTTTCATCGAAAAACTTGTCGATATTTTTTAATACTCAGAAATTAATAATTATTTGCTCTACGTACGTACACATTTTTTTTATTTTTATTTATATTTTAAATCACCCGCAATTGAACTTTCCTTCTTGACATGAAGAAATTATCAGAGATAATTCGATCTTATCATCTGATTTATATAGCATAATCCTTCTTAAGGCACTTTAATAAGCTATATATATCTTCATACTATCGCCTTTATATTACACTTTTAATATACCGTCAGGCTTCATTGCTAGGCACATTCCATGAATTAATGCACAAGACACGTGCTTGGATGCATTCCAACGCGTATACGTCCTTTTTACGTTTGAAGCATTGTATTTGGGCGATTGATCGCGTCGGAGATTTGTGTTCTCGTCACAGGAGAACAATGATCCGGGTCAATTTGCTTAAATTTAATGTCAACGCGGGATGCAATTATGCATTGTCATGCATCGATGACTACTGATCTCATAATCGGTGAATTGATCGAGTCAAAATACATATAATTAAGTGCAACACACTCCTCGACAAACTCTAGAATATGTTTCTTGTCATGCATTGAGGTAAAATGTCATTTAATTTGATTACATTTAGCTTTATTACTTATTATCTCAGAGTATATCATATGTCATATACTCATATATGATATTTATATTTATATGTCATATTCAAAATATTATATTTTATATTGAGTTTTAAGTCTTATAAATGCTATTACTTAGAAAATGAAATGTTTTATAATTTCTAATATAACAAAAAAATTATTAAATTTTATCATATTTGTTGTACATATGTATTATAAATATGCTTCGCTTCTTCTTTAAATTTGAAAATTAATTTTCTTAGAAAATTGTGTGTCAAATGACTATAAAACTGCATCATTTACAATAAATTGTTATAATGCAATTTCTTTATAATATGCCAATCATAATGGCAAAATTAATAAACTTGCAAGAGAAATTAGAATTCAATTGTTTTAAAACCTTTAAGAATTTAATTCTTATATTAAAAAATCATGTTTCAAAAAGATTTATATTATATAACACGACCATGTGAAACTTTTTTAACTAGATACATTTAAGTTGCCCTGCGAGATATTATTCTTTGAACAAAACTTTTAATTTGGTGTTATTTCGCATTATCATTACGCCGCGAGGTTGCGTTTGTAGACCTGGAGAGAATTCACAGATACGAGAGGACGCATGTCCTGAAATGCCCTAAGTCCTATAGAGAGTATAACGTTTCATTTAATCATATATATTTGCCCTAGTTTGAGTAAACACGCTATATCGAAGAAGAGAGGAAGATCTCCTCAACCAAAGCGTTGATGATGTACGCACAGATATCTGTGTACAGATAACATCTGTGTATTTTCCCGTAATAACGAATTACACAGAAATGCTGTGCATGAAAGGTCACCGTCCGACTTGCGTAATCCGTTTTCATATAAGAGCGTAATTTCTTGCGATATGCTAATACCTGGCTTCCGCGAATTATCGCGGTCTTTAGGGTTTACAAATATACCGTCAAATGCATCTACGTCATACATATATTATGAAGCTGATTGCGTAAATTAGGATTAATGCTGACGCTAATACGCGAGAAATGTCGCGTTAAATGGTGAATTTATAGAAAATCCGAAATCTCTATAGTATTTGCGAATGAATGTCTTCATATTTCTCCGATAATTAATTAATTCTATTTTAAGAGAAAGCTTTAGCTGGATATAATTTTTTTACACAAACGAGAAATGTAAAATATCCATCTATTATAATATTTAATCGTAAGTATATATTTCAGAAAGTTAAATGTAAATTTTTAAGAATCAAGTTTGTGAAATACACTACATCGAAGAGAGAACCTCTTCCGCGAGAGAAAATCTTTTATTTAATGCATACGTGAGCAATGTACACGCAGATGATTCGTATATCCACTTAATAAACGTTAGTTTTTCAACAAAATAGACATATTAAAATATAAAGATCCTGGAGAGAATACAGAAGATATATTGTTTTATATAACGAATTAGAATAATTCATTGTTCAATTATTTTTTTCCAACAATATAATGGATTTTAACATGTTTTTAAAGTTTGAATTAGTTTTACTTTTTCTCATTTATCATAAAAGCTTCGTTCATTAAAAGCTTCTTATCACAGAAATATAAATATAAAAAATAAAATATAATTATTCAATTTGTCTCTTGAATATTTCTATATTGCAAAATAATAATACTTTTAGCGAATTATTAATAGAGGACAAAATTTCATACATTATTTTATACGTTAGACACATATAAAGCATAAAAATATTTAAAATTATTTAAAAATACTGCATATAGTATTGCGGGAATCAAATATAATATGATAAAATTATTCTCAAAACACCATACACTTTTCTCGGCAAAATTGTGTCATATAGTAGAATATCAAATCAACGCGTTAATAAAATGTAAACGCTGTGAAGTTGCAATAAAAATTAATTATACACACACACATATATATATATATATATATATATATATATATAAACAAATATTAAGCTTGACAAAATAAAAATAGAGGTAGCAGGTAGATAAATGACAAACGTATGGTTGCTTTGACGTGCGTCAGCTGCGAAAATAGCGGCGGTTTATCACAAATATCGGCCGGCAATTGTGTTTTTTCTTCTCTTTTCTCTTTGCATTTTAACAAATCGCAAATAACTGCTCGACAAATTTTTTTTGTATAATTTTATCAATATCTCGTTAACGAACGAGAATATACGGGTCATGTGTACTTGGAAAATTAATTAACTCGCCATCAAATTGTATCAGCGATACAACAAACGCGATAAAATTACATTTGTGTGACACTATATACGTTACGGTTTATCAATAATAATTACTCGATTATTATAAATAGAGATAATTTGCATTTCTACCCTTACGACAATAACACCTAATAGTGGCTGCAATTTTCTGCGTATATTACGCGATCACAACTGATTATTAAAGAACAATTCATCGTGATGCAGCTGTTTCGCGTGAAGTCTTTCATAGATCTACATAGCAATTATTAAAGCGTTATTTTCAGAATAGGCAGATCGTTCACACGGATAATCTATAATATATCCACTAGTAAGCAATTTGCAAATGAGAGCCTCGAAAATAAATCAATATCTGCATTCGTTATGTAAAAGAATGTAATATTCATATATTCGTCGACGGATCGCTCTCTTTCTTATGAATGTTATTCAGCTATTTCTGCATAATATCAGAATTTTATTGTGCTCGCAACAGAAAAAGCCTCTAAGTATTATAATCATACAAATACGAGTGACGGCGCTCATAACTTAATTTACATAAAACTACATATGGGTAGAACTGGCAAGGCTGACGCAAATAAATTTATAATAATCGCAAACATTATGCTCTTTAATTATGTTTATAACTATGCATCTAATAAATGTAAATGTTTCCAAAATAGAATTGAGAATACTAAATAATCGGGTTTATTGTAAGTAAACGAAATAGAATATAATGTCTATTATATTATATTTATATTAATAATTTTTTAACTGTTACGTTTTTATTAATAAATTATATAGTTTTTTTCGTACAGTTTATCGAGAGATTTCATTAAAAAGAAAAAAGTAATTATTTATTTATTTATTTCTTGTAATATCTATATTTATAAAAAATATACGGTCAGCAAAATGTGCAATATATAATTACAAAAAATTGCGAAAAAAGCTGCAATTTTTTGTTAAAAGAGAATTAATAGAATAATTTGTTTGCTTATTAAATTATAAATTTAAATAATAATTTACAATCAAGAGACATCTCAGTCAATATTAATATTCAATATACCCGTAATTTTTTTTTATTAATTTATATTTAAATGTTTTACGTCAATCAAATTCCTATTTAAATTTTTTAAATTTTGCGGTCATGGTTCATAAAAATGAGATTCTCTCGCGTGAATATTTCTTATGCATACGTTTTCCATTTTCCGATGGCACCTATCGGAATAGCCGGTTTTGTTCGCTTTTGTTCAAAAAAGTTGACAGACGTAGAAAAAAAGTTGCGAGGAATGAAAAATGAAATTACGCGTTAACGAACGAGCACTTCGTACATACATCGTATGTGGCTGATCATAAAGCTCCTTATCTACTGCGTGGAACTCTATCGCCGAGCTTTCCGCCGGACAACCGACGATAACAATTTTGTTATCTCGCTTTAATTATACTATAAATAAAAAATAAAATAAGTTGCTTGAAAGTAGTTTGTTCAGTAAATAGATTGTAGAAAATTGCATAGATTTTTACAAATGATAAATAAATTGCGTTACATATATGACCATGCATATAATATATCAGACCAGATGCTTCTATAATATGATATATAAAGCTTGTTCTATAAAATATTAAAGCAAGAAAGCGATGCTATGTACATTTATTTAACTATAATAGAATTTCATTGACAAATTAAATTATTTTGTTATTTTTATTCCAATATTTCTCGATTACTTTATGATCTGCGAATATAAATAAAACGCATAACTTAAAGTTCATTTATTTTTCATTTAATAAACTCGCGCGAAAAGTCATTTTTCATTAAAGATATAGATAAATTATGGTTGCAATAAGCAAGAAAGAAAATAAGAAAAGAATTTTTTCTATCATAACGTAGAAATTGCATGTTTTACGAGGCAGAAGTCTGCTGATTTATTTTTTTAACATTAGAATGCTTTAACAACGTAAATCGTTTTCGCATTATTATACGCAATGTTGGGCACATTGCGAAGCAATACGATTTAATCGTATCTTGCATTGTGAGAATTCCATAGTTAAATAGGGGATACGGTATTTATTGTTGTTGTAAGAATAAAAGCACTTTGTATGCTGCCTCAAAAGAGTTCTTATCCTGTACGACGCTTTAAAGCTGAGCTTAAGTGCATTCTTTTTCCTCTTTATGAATATCTGCTACCGTTAGTACATGCTTCTGACGTAAAACCGCAAAATGTAATTTTAATTTTTCTTTGGGTGCCATCATTAATCGGCGAACTTGAGAAGAACCAATAAATTCATTGTACGTAATACTATAGTTAAATGCAAGACTGATAATAATTACATTAATTGTAAGTTTGGGAAACATGAAAAAATTTTTATACAAAATTACTTATATTAATTGAAATATTTTATTTTATATTTATATAAGCACATTCTCTCTTTCTCTCTTGGTTGTACCAACTTATTAGACTTACTTAAAATAAGTAATATAGCAATTTAGCGTTAACGGTAATGCGTATATATTATGTCAAATATTTTAATTTTGTAATTTGTATTTTTATGTGTGTGTGTGCTTTTTTCATTTTCTTGCTATTATATATGTATATATATATATATATATATATATTTTCTAATTTCAATAGTGTTATATTATTGTATTAAAAATATGAGCATCATGCTTTTAATTGTTAATATAATATAAGAACTTATATTTTAAAAATTAAGATCTTTATATATGTATATTATAACTTTATATGCACATGAAATATTAAAAAATACACGAAAAATTTGAAATATATGTATTTTTCTTGTCTGTTGCAGAGGTATCGCATTATTCAACGAATCTCGAAGACAATGACGACGTTATCGAAGTAGAACAGGTAAAAAGAGTGTGTATGTGTGTGTTTCCTCCTTTTTTACTTTTATTCCTACTTTTTATTTTTATTTCTGTAGAATTAAATCTATAAGTCTTATAAATCTTGAGAATACATATCTGTATTCAAGATTAAATGTGTGCTTTAATGGAGTGGGCGTAACAAACAAGATTACGCTTAACATCAAAAAAGTTATTTTGACTTTTTTTGCAAATTTTGTATTCAGAGTTAATCCAATTCCTCTGGGAAATCATCGCTATGCTATCCTTCTTCGTTTTCCCTATTCTGATGAAAATATTTTACGTTATATTAAGTTATAACAAACAAACTTCTTTTAAAAAATTGATTCTAAAATTTCAATCAAAAGTATAAAACAAATTTAAACTTCATATTAATAATAATCATGAAATAAATAAATCTCATAAGAAACAATTTCATTTGATATAAAGTTTTAAAATTAAAAAAATTAAGAAAGAATCCAAAATGTATTCAAAAATATCATATGTTATACACATATAGGATTGTAATTTAAAAAATATTTTATTTTTGAGTTGTTATTAATTAAAGATATCTTGAAACAAAGCAAGATAAAAATACTAAATTATTATAACTATTTTAATTACTGTTACATTTATAATACAAAAAATATTTCCGTTTAGAAAGTATTTTCTCGAGAATATTTTATTATAGTTACAATTAAATGCATATATTTTATTTCCGTAAAATAATTTTTTTTTAATATGTGATGACAACGATAGATTCAATGGGATTGCAATGGCAATAATGGCCTTTCGAGTGAAGTATTCTTGACTGAAATATTGGATTATCCAAGTGTTGATGTCCTGTTATAAGCATATTGTGCGAGCGTCGAAGAGAGAGTAGCAGATGTGCGTATTATTTGGTAAAAACCGAATCTGTCACGTCCTATATTGCAAACGCATCAGCAGCAGATCACTTAGAAATTGCATCTAAATAATTTTCAATGTCGTTCGCAAACAAAAAAAAATAAATTGTCGCAAACAAGCGATATTATTTTTATTTATTGATGGAATATTAAAGTTGATGCAAATCAATTGTAGAATGTCAAGGTGAAAGATGATGTGGGATGTCAAGATATAATTAAAAATAACTCGAGAAGAATCTTTAACTAATATCTTATTAATCTAAAAGAAAATGTTGGTCGGATAATAATTATTATCTTTCTTAACTGATTCTCATAAAATTTATCCCATTCCGAGATGCTTCTTGATTGCATATTTCTCTAAATTAAAGCGAGAATTCCAAGAAGAGCTTTATCAGAATTTCTCTCTCAAACGGTTCTAATTAACAAATTAAATTTATTTTAGTTTTAAGACTTTCGCGGCCATTGGAATCATCAATGCAAAAGGTTTCCGGATGGATGCCGCGTGGTTTAATAGCGTAATGCCGACGTTTCGCAAACTGCAACGTTTGCGAAACGTCGGCATTACGCTGTTAAACCACGCGGCATCCATCCGGAAACCTTTTGCATTAATTAAATTTACTTTTAATTATGCATAACATATATCTAAAAAAATACTGATAATTAAGAAAGCTACACAGCTGGAGCGCTGAATTTATTATCAAAACCCGAGGGTGCCATGATTGATAATCATCGTTCTCGGGTTGCAAGACGAGATCTCGATTTTATATGCACATAACGTGCCCGACCGATGTTACTATTACTATGTTGCGGCAAACCATCCCATTCAACTTTTATGTCACGGTCGAGGAGAAAATGTACGATGATAAATCGATCCACGTGTTCACCACCGTAAACGATGCGATCGTAGAAACGTAAAAACGTGACTGTTTCTACGCGATCTTAAATGAACCGATAAATATCTTTCATAAAGCATATTCCATGCATCGATCACAATGATCAGAATATCGTATATTCGTTCGACGCGATGGAGAAATGAACGGTCACAATCCTGTATAAACATATATTTTCCCAAGCAAGGATAACACATATTCATCGGAAATGAATCTGAATGTGAATGCAATTCGAATGTATGTAGGTCTCTCATAATCTAATGCAAGTTTAATCGTTGATTTTAATTGTGAAAATGTACATGTTGCTTCTTTATTGTTTGCGATAACTGAATAGCGCAGGGTTTTATAGTGGCAAAACAACTCTTTGTTATTGCCTCTTTTTGTGAAACAAAAAACAAAATGATAAAAAAATTGTTGCAAGAAAGATAAGCTTTGATACTACCAACGGATATATTACCTACGCAGCAAATTGTAAAGTTTGAAAAAATATAAAATGTTTGCCAAACTAATTCACTGCGTCGCGATTGCATATACGAAAGCTATTTAATAAGCCTCGGAAATTCAATTTAACGACGTCAACGTAAACCAATCCATTACCAGTGCCTCCACGTTAGAGAAACTTGTTTGACAGTTGGTTATCTGACAGTTCTGTTGGGGGACGATGTATCGTTTCTCGTAAACACGAAGAAAATAAATGTGTTGCAATATCCTGATGATAGCTCGGACATTTGTAACATGATGTAACTGATAGACATGTGGAATTTGAATAAATGCACAATATTATACGTGTCCTTGTAAACTAAAGAATTGCAATTTTACAATTCTTTGCTTTCAAAGTAATTTTCTTTTGCCTCTTACAAAGTTTTGATAAAATAAACAAGATAAATAAAAAATAATTATACGAGTAATTTATGGAATTGTATAACTTTTCTAACATGGATTAGTTTCTCCAAGTTTTCTCTTCTAATAAACAAACATTATAAATAATTAAAACAATCCAACGTCGAAGTAAAATAGAAAACGAATAACTTCAACGCTTTTTTATTTTAAAAAAAAGTTTTTTTTCAAATTTCTGTATATTCATAAAAATTGAAATAAAAGATGGGAAAAATAAGATGTTAATAATAAAAATTGAAAACTTATAAATATATAAACTTCATAAAATAAATTTATTATACATTTTTATGCCTATACGTTTGTAGGGAAAAAAATCAAAAATAAAAAAGCTACATGTGATACAGAGATATATCAAGAACTTCTATTTAAATTTAAAATTGAATTTTTAATCTTTGTGAAACCGTAAATCGGTTTTTGTAATTTATTTCATTCTTTTCTATTTTATATTTATATTGTACTAGATGGCATGTGTAATTGCCAAATATGGAGCACAAAGAAACGCATCATTTTTCATTAAACCTTGCTTTTCCGTCAGAACTAAATTAATAACCATGAAAAGTGAGATTTTAATGATGATAAAGAATATTCCTGGTTAAAAGATTCTCCCGTACATTCTAACCAACTATTTTTATAATTTTCTAAAGAATTCATAACTTTATAATTACCGATTCTTTTTAAGGAGTTCACAACTTCGTTATTATCGGTTCCTTTTAATGGCTATCGATATTTTTAATTCACATATTTTACGTTAAAAGAAAGATAGAAATGTATAACGGGCGCAATGCTAAACGTAGCTATATTAAAAATCTTGTAGAGGAGTGTCTTGCGCTTTCTCGAGCGTAAATAATAGATCACCTTTTAGCAGGTCTCCGCTTTGGAGTCGTTTCAATATCAGTTCTTTTTTAAATATCGCATGGTTTCCTTGCGGGCATCTATTCGTACTCAATTTATCGATCCACTTTTTTATATATATATATAGTATATCTACACATCGTATGTTATGTTATGTTATTTCATGTGTGTTTTTTACATGCGTGTCGACTAAATGCGTGCAAGCTTGCAATCGTGATTCGAATTACCTTGCTTATGGTAGCGTTATCAGAGAGTTGTGAGAGTGACGAAGGAAAAGCAAGATTTTCTTTGTACATTCTGTAAAAAATAAATGATTAAAAGAAATTAATAAATATCTAATCTGCAAGAGACATAAAATTCTCATGGGCAAAATTAAGAATTGATTAAAAAATGAGTAAAAATTTTGTTTTATTCCTTTTTATTTATATTTAACAATTTTGATAAAATCAGATAAATTTAATTCTTTAAAGATTTTTAAAAATTAAAATCGCAGATTTAAATTTATTGTGATTTATATGGATACTCGGATATAACGATTTTTACTTAAAAAACAGATATTAATAATGTATAAAAATGTTTTAAGAGAATATAAGATATATTACAGTTTTTCATCTGTAATCCATTATTAAGCACTTAATCTATGTTTAATCTATGTTGCTTTTTTAAAAGCATTTACTTTATCTTACAGAACGTACTTTATTTTACAGAGAAGCTTAAAATGATTTTATCAATAGCAAATTATTAATAGCATATTGTTGGAAAGAAGCATTGTAAAAGATACAACAATTCAATTTTATACGTGTCAATTCGACCTTCCTCGATTTTCTTCAATCTATTAGTTTTAACGGAGAGAAAATGCGATGAAAAAGATTCTCTTTACACCTGCGTTTCAAATAATCTCTTTTTCCAATTCCTTGTTTTCAGAGCTTTACGTGGAATCTAGGAAGACCAGTGGATGAAGCGGAAGTATTGCAATTGGCAGTTGTATCTCGCGGAGTTCTGAGGACTGAAAAAATCGCGGCGAAATACGGATTGGTGTTGCAAACGGTGGTGCGCGAAGGAAGGATCTTTGTTTCGGATTCCCTAGTTGACCTCAATAATAAACCGCTTCCGGTACGTTTCAATATCGAGATGAATGATTAAATGCGTAATTACACGATAAATGCGCAATATCTATGTGTACGTATATGGTATGCACATTGGGGAGATGTAATTTTCATTGCATTCAAATATAGCATCGGTGTCCTACATCTATCTGCAAGATACTGACATTTTGTCGCAAAGTTTTCTTCAACTTTTCATTATAAAAAAATATCTATTCTTTCAAACTTATTTAATATTTAGAAGACAATATAAAACAGTCTCGAATAATTTCGGATAATATATATCTTAATTTTAATTCACGTGCTTCACATAGATCATTTCAGATAATTTCTATATAAACAAATTGATATAATAGTTTTTCTCTAATTAATTATTGATTTAATTAATTGAAATAATGCACAAACTTTAATTGGATTTGTAATATAAACAATAAATAATAATACATATCTTTGAACGATATAAAAATAGTCAATAACACGAAAATAATAGCACGTAATAAAATGTATAATTAAATATGCCAATATATGAAGTAATTAATTTGTAAAATTATTTGTACATATATTATCAGATGAATAGAAATTTTATTGTGTTCCCTTAGAGTTGTATATTAATTAAATCAAATAATATTTTCCATATAAAAATATGTATATAAATGCTGCATTTGCTGTTTTTGCGATAAATTTCAAATTATCATACAAATGGTCTTCAGTTTTTCTGAAGATGTTGCTGAATGCGAAGGCAAGTACTATCAAAACTTAGGATAAATTGGAAATAATATTGTTATCATTGTTAAATGAGTTTGAAATTGACTACATTCCTGCATCAAAGAAGAAAATTGGAGCACGACATATTAATTATTCAAGCGATGAGAAACAAAGCACAAGTTTCATACAGACATTTCCAAGATCCGTGTGTATTTCATCCACACAACAAACTTAATTTACTCGAGAACGTAATTTGAATTATGCTTCTTGTCTATGCTTCTTCTTTCACAGCAACGATATTAAATACTCTGTCCCAGGTTACATTTTCCCGTAAAGAGTACTTATGTGTCTGGCACATAGCATTTTAAACAGGCAAACATTGAAGTACAAGTGACGTACTTGAAACATGCTCTTTAAATGCGTCCCTTTGCGATGTAACACTTTTTCTTTTAACTTTAAGTATAAAAATGTATAAGGAACATATTACCTTAATGATTTATTGGACGTTTTATACTTATATGTATATATAGCAAAAGATAAATTTTGATTAATACTTATTGCAATTTTTATAAAATTTGACAGATCTCTTTCATATTTATAATTAATATAGGCAATTATTAAAAAATAAGAAAAAAATGGTTATACATATTTATTAATTTTATTAATTTTATTTTCATTATTGTTATTAGAAAAAGACAAAGTTTCAAATTGGTCGTTTTTTAGTACGTTTATTTTTAATTATCTGACATTTAACATATCGCTGCGTTTATCGTTGCAATATGCAGTTATTATTCATAACGAAAAGCACACTGAAAACGTAACGCCGTGAAATCAAAATGAAATAGATACATTGTTAACAGAGTTAAAAAAAGCGATAAACATGGAAAATGTTGAAATTTATTTTGTAAAATCATGATAAAGAGTAGCTAATTTTTGTTTCTATAAATTATTTATCAGAAACCGCAAAATGCAACATATATCTTTGTTTTCCAATACTCATACATCGTTCTCTATTTTTTGAGAAGGAAAATATATTAAAAGAAATTTAAAAAAATACAAAAGGCTAGCTTTATTTCAAATACCTCTAATATCTAAAATTATGTGTGTGCTAATTATGTCCCTCGGCCATGGGCGTTTCCCATTAAATTGCAATCTCAATTATGTCATGGAATTAATCTAGCTGTCATTGTCGCAGCCACATGATGTCGCCCACAGCACGATAAATGAAGCATCGTACTTCCTGTTCCTATCACTCATCAATTATTCTTACGTCTATCAAACCTTTTTGTAATCCGTTACTATTTTTACACAGGCGGTGGTGTGTTTCGAAATTCGATACAATCCCCCGGACGGAAGCTGCAGTTCGTACGCGGCCTCGGAAATAATGGAGGATGAGCAGCAGATGCTGATCGATATCGAGCAGAATATCGCGAACCTCGAGAGAAGTCTCGAACAAGCCAACAGCAGCACGAGTAGCGGAAAAAGAAGGGGCTCCTGGCATACCCCCGAGAAATCAAAAGAAGTTTCATATCGAGGGGCCTCTCTATGTCGACCAATGATAAATCATCTGATACCCGGAAGCGGTAAGTGACGTAATTGTCAAGCAATAAAATGACATATTCATTATTGCGCGCCGAGAATCGCTCTTTCAAAATTTACCCTTCATATATAAAAAATTATGAATTTTGATGGTCGTGAAAAGTCATGATATTCTTATTCATAACAATTTATAAAATTAATGTACGAAATACAAATTTTAGTAGTTTTTAATATTATTGTACATATACGATTTTGTTCAGGAAGCGTTATTTTTTAAAATCAGACTTCTGTGCTGCTGTAATATTTTTAAAAAAAAAGTAAATACGCATTTTAAAATTTCATATTTAAATATTATTAAAATGTAATCGATATGCTTTTTTAAATTGAATTTTTGAATTTGCAAAATAGGCAATTAAATTGCACCAGCTTTGCTCCAGAACCATTTGAAAAACCAATTAAGTAACAAGCAAGAAGAATTGCAGAAATATGAAAAAACTTAGGTCAACAAATATTATGCCAATCGAATTTAAAATGTTAATGTGCATATTCTCAGGTAAATTTTACATACACACACATACATATACAAAAGAGATGCTCTTTATTCATCTTGCCGTAAAATTATGTCCTTGTGCTGACATAATCTAATCATATCGCAATATACTTTTATACATATGCATATACCCCGCATTGTGACATGTCCAGATGATATTGCAATAACGTTGCTTTTTTGTGTGCGCGTCATAAATTCCCATCTGAATAGAATTTACGCATTTGGCATTTAATATGTGACAAATTGACGCCCTTTATCATATTCTGTTCCATTAAACGTTGCAAAATTACTCATTTAATAGCAATTATTGTCACTGCATTTTTAGTGACCTTGCACCACACTGAATTTTGAATTATACATAATATATTGAAAATGTAATCATAGAATTACGAAATATACATACATATAATTACATCACTCTAACGTTATTACATTAAATATCTATTACGCGGAAATATATATATATTGCCGAGAAGATTAACACAAATTGCGGCAAACTAAAATTATGTTCAATATGTAAACCTCATTTAAAGACAGTATAAAGGAGAACTAACAGGTAATAATATTATACGATTTAACTGGTAAAAACCATATGCGTGAGTTCGCACGCTCTGTTTACTCAAATTTATAAAATTTATAAAACGTACAAACCACTATAGAAAAGAAATCGTTATAATATTGCCATTAATGCGTAATCCTATATTTTAATTATTATTGTTAATTATTAAAATTTCTATTTTTATTGGCGTCATAACAATAGTTTTAATTATAAACAAGTAAACACATTTTCATGTATATGCGAAATTAAGTGCATAACAATTGCAAATTAAAAAATTCAGATTATTGCATTTTTTTGCCAAATAAAATTATTTTATTCCAACCTTTCCTTTATTTATATTTTAAATTAGATTTGAATTTTTAATGTTACTGACTTTTACGTAAAATCAGTACATATTAAAATTAATTTACTTTTTCAATTTGATCAAAGAAAACATTGATATTCCTAACAATCATTTACTTTAATAAATAAATAGTTTCTTTTATTTATAATTGGATAATTTATTCAATAATGATATTAATATAGTAATAATTAAGTCTATAACATAATATCATTTTTTTACTTATATATTACTTATGTTTATACTCTCTCTTTCTCTTCCAAGTTCATCTATTTCCCATCTATTTCTCATATATTTCCCATCTATTTCTCATATATGTCCCATCTATTTCCTTTATTCAAGTTCAAATTTATATGGAAATTTCGATATAAATACGTCTCATGAAGTTTTGCCTTTTATATTTAATTTCGCGAGATGCTTGCAGACTGTAGTATGTATTCGGTAACATTTTTTACGTGTTATTAAAAGTGTAAAAGATATATAATATCTATAGATGCATGTATGCGTAAATTGTATACATTTTCTTTTTTCAAGCTCGGAATTTACGAAAACAAAAATACCTCATTCAACAAGTTTTTATTTCTTGGATATTTGTTTTTGCAGAATATCCATAGTGGTGTGCATTCGCAATCGTAAATACATAATTTTTATTATCAAAAATGTAAAAAAAAATTTAATATACCTTTGATTCATTATTGATTAATTTTGTTTAATTGTCGAGATGTATAAAAAATGTATATGCATCAATTTTTTACTTTATTTAAGTGCTTAAAATTGTGAAAAAAAGTTGTGTAGAGAAAACTGACGTCTCAATTTTCGTAAAAGATATCCCGTATTTAGGGTCAAGGGTCGGTTGTTCCACTCTGAGACGAACATATGCTATCTGTCAAATAAAATTTACCAAGAAGTTGGAACAATCGACCCTTAGTAACATATTATCGTCATCATTAAAATATCAATCTTTTTACTATCGTATGTAAGTATAAATTGTGGCTATTTTTTGCTCCATTCAAGATCGGAATTTCCAAAGAATAAATGAGTTGCTAATTAAAGCGGTGCTTATCGATTTCTGTTAGTAACCTCTGTTGATGACTAGCGGATCTAGTAGCTCCGATGTAGCTTTCAACGTCATTAGCGTGTTATTACTGTAACGCATTGTTACATCGTCGTGTCATCGAAACGTGAAGAGATTGCTTAATAAGGACGTCCGGCAATGTTAGTGACGCTGTTGATACATTAAAGTTCATTATCGCGGCGTTCTCGATAAACCTTTTAGTGACGGAAAGGTCAAACTAAGAAGACGTGAAAAAAATATAAAAAGATTAATAGTGATCTTATACACGGAATATATTTATTTTTGCACATACATTTGTTCATTTACGAATCTTTACTTAGTTTTCAATTTCCATTTGCACCTTAAATCTTGCGTTAAAATTACTTTGCGTAGAATTTAAAGTATTCCAATCTACCACATTAATCATGTAACTAACTAAGAAACATCTGTTACATTTTTATGTGTGTGTGTTTCTGTGATAAATGAACTTTTTAGTTGCTTTTAGTATTTCTCTATAAAACTAGAATAAAATCTTTTACGATAACACAAGGCGTGACTACTCTTTTTATTGTGCAACACATATGATATATCATTTCAAGAAACTTTGTAACTTCGTTTAGCTTCTTGTTGGAAAATTGTATCGAATTTATTACGCAATTGGTCCTAAATTTTTCCTATTTCTCTATTTTTCAAAATCAAATAAAAATATAATATATGATTCATATTATTCTTTATATAATTTAGTTCGGTAATACCGAAATCTTATCCCGATACGTTAGAAAGAAAGCTACCTTTTATATCTCGCGAAAATATATATCAGTTTCTTCATAAACTAGATTCTCCTTAGGGAGTGCCGTGGCAATTCTTGTCACTATATCTCTTTCAACGTAGGAACTTAATCGAACGTACCTCGTGGTCGTCCATATGTGTAATAATGTGCCTGTGACACATTTTCATTCGCAAAACCGCCCACGCCGATTACATTCGTGACAATATTATAATCAATAAGGATTGAGGTAGAACGAATGACATATCGTAGGTGCGTGAGAAAATATAGGGCCTTCGCCAATTTTGTTCCCGCTTTGGCCAGTAGTATAGCACGTGTTTCAGCTGACAGATTATAATGACATATGAGATATATCAAATAAAACTGAAATATTCATTTCAGTTTTATTCGAGTTTTTATAACTTTATTTTTAAGATTTCAGTAATGAAAAGAGAGATTCTCAATAAATAAACTCTATTAAAATTTAATATTTAATTTTTATAATATTTATACAAGCATAAATTATATTTTTTTTTTGTTTAAAGTTATTAAATTTATACATTGACCTTTTCATGAATTATTTATATAAGAATATTTAAAATTTAGATATATTAAACAATACACGTGCCTTCTTCAAAATTTTCGTCATATTTATATTTAGCTTTTATATAAGAATTGGAATTTAGTGAGTGCATTTGGGATCAAAACATTTTAATTCACCATTATATGCTTACGAGCATTACAAGCGAGATTTAGATGATATTGTGGCTGAGGGAGAAATATAGAGAGAAAGAGATAAAAAGAGAAAGAAGCAGAGGGTGACGTCATTGAACACACACATTCTCGAGGTGCAGCAACAAGAAACTCGACCGAAATGATATAAACGTGAGATGATAGTAAGCGGCTTTCCAAGCCGTTTAGGGAAGCGAGAAGTTTCGTTTATATCCTGCAAAATAAATATCTATATACAAACTAAAATGAACTGACATGACATTTATTTTTATAGAATTTATATTTGAGCTATAATATTTTAAAAATGCCTAGATTTAATATAGACTTCTTATAAATATTTGTCACTCTTCTCTTTTCCATGTTTGTTAATATATTCGCAGAAAAAAAATTAATCTCTTTCGTCATTAAAAGAATATTAAATTGTTATTTAATGCAATTTATATCTTTAGCATTTGTTTATAATATATTATTTGTAATAGAATACAAATGCATATATTTACTGGTTAAATCTAAATTTTGTAAACAATATAACTTGTTTATATAAAAATTGCACTTAATTACGTATCCCGATTAATATTGGAGCAAAATAACGTAGTTTCCTGAAAATATCGTGCTGCTCGAATCATTAAAGTTTCTCTCGGTACGGATTACGACAGAGAATTAGTTTCGAAGGAACTTTATATCTATTGTTATATCGAATTCCCTTACATTCCCTCGTATTTCCTTTAGAAGCGCTTTCAAGAGCGTGCGATCCTTGCTGAAATTGGGAAAGCAGAGACCGCCACGTGCTCGGTCCTGCGACAATACCTCGGAAACGAGAGAACTCCTCGACAGACAGGATTCCAGCTGCCCAACTTCAAACGAGCCATCACGTACAAACTCCATGACATCTCTCGAAACGAATACATCTGATAACGACAGTCAAGTTAGTGCCAACCCCGAGCAGGAAGAGACAGCTGTAAAGCCGGCAAAGAAACCGAAGCCTAAGGTTAATAATATCTTTTATATCTTGGATAAAATTTTTATGTTACATGTTGCATGTGTAGAGAAGAATGCTAGATAAAATTGTGCCAGCCTCGCTTATGACTTTCATACTCCAAAGTATAAAGTATCTCAATAATCCCACAAATAATAATAAATACAATATTATTATATTATACAATAATATATATAATATAATATTAAAAATACTGAGAGTTTACGAATAATAATTGCACCCTGAATAAAAATCTTATATGTATTTCTTTGTTAATTTGTTTTATTAATTATTATATTTCAATATTACATTTTAATATATTGATATTTTTTATTATTGTTATATTTTGATTTTATATATTTACAGAACTATATTGCCGATTATAATTTATCGTATAAGTGAATATTTATTTTATGTTATATACAAGTTTTAAAGTATACTTTTGAAATTTTGCAAAAGAAATACATAATTGCTTCACTTTTCTATAATAATTAAATTTATCAAGCAAACTTTTTAGAGGAAATTCATTGTCAGTTCTCGCAATATAAAGTAACTTTAGAATGTCACAGCAGATCGTGTTAAGCATTATAGAGGGATAATACCGAAGTAGCAACTGTCCATAAATGATAGTCCAATTATCTCTAAATGAGATTGAAATCGATCGAGGGCGAGTGAGAGTAAATTGCGAAGGCAAGCAAAGTTTTTACGCGGAATTATTTAGTTTTCTTTTTTCTCTTTAACAAGTCACGAACTTTCTGTTCACAAAATATTAATGGTTCGTATTAATATTGTGAAATAAAATATTCTTCTCTATAAACATCTCACAGTTATTATTATAGTTCGATATTACCTTTGGCTTTGTTTTTCAACTTTATGTAATAATTATTACTTTTCCAACAAACTCTACCAACAACAAAATTAACCTGCTTTAAAAAGATATGCTTTGAAATCGCTTGCAAATAATAAAGCATGTTCTAAATGACATTTTGATAGCATGAATAAATCTATACATTCAAAAATGGTTTTGCATATATTGTGCTCGATATATCTTTTTCGTAATTTTAAATATTGCATCAAATGTGTGTATGTATGTATGTGAGAAATATTTTTAAAATTATTTATGTTATATTATATTATAAAAATTAATATTTTAAATAATATCTTTCTTTCTACTCATCAATATTTATTTATTTCAATTTTCTAGAGATCATTATTAGGTTCAAAACATTAACATATTATTCAATGTTGCTTCTAATAATTCAAATGTTATCCAGACTTCAAAAACACTTAAAGATAATAGAAGTGCACATATTCTAAGTATTATTTTTTTTTCTTTTTGTTATAATATATAACTAGCGCGCATATAGCATTTCTCTCTTTTTAAATTCAAAAGCGTTGCGCTGCAACAGGGCTGTTCCATATTCTTTTTCGTAATCCAAGCGATTTAAATGGAGATCAGCGCGAACTTTTCTCGTTTCACAGACGAGCGACACTTGGCAAAGTGCGTTAAAAGCCCAGGATTATCAAGTATGCGTTACGATCATTGAAGCAAGGCAACTCGCAGGTCTCAACATGGATCCGGTGGTCTGTGTGCAAGTCGGAGATCAGCGCAAATACACGAGTGTCAAGGAATCCACGAATTGCCCGTATTATAATGAAGTAAAGAGTAGAAATTTATTATTTGAGAGCGATTATAAATTTAGTAAAAATGTTTAAATGTAAAATTATAATTGAAAATGAAATTAAGAAGATTCCTGATATAATTTTTAATTACTTTATCAAATGAGCTCTGATGAGCGCTGATTTTATTTCATGATTAATGGAAATCATAATTGTTTCAGAATATATCTTCGTGTATTATTTATATTATTATTATTATTATTATTATTATTATTATTATATGCATATTCGGATCTATAACTAATTCTTTCTTCATTTTATATTTCAGTATTTCGTCTTCGATTTTCACATGCCGCCCGTTATGCTCTTCGACAAAATCATTACGTTGTCGGTAAGTTTATCCCCACGTATTATTTATATTGTGTGTAATACTGAAACTCCAAAGCAGGAAAAATCGATTAATTTGTTCGTTAATATTTAATACATTTGAAATGCATTTAGCTACGTGATAAAAGCGCGTGCGTGAATTATTTCGCTTCATTAAATCTTTTTGTCGCTTTTATCACAATTATATTCAAAGAATATTTAGATGCGTATCGGAAATCGATCACTGAGCAAAGCTGTACGGTATAAGGGGAAAAATAAAATTCTTTATGGAACTATATTTGATAAAGAATTAGGTGCTTGATATTCAAGATGAATACGCAAAATGAGGAGGGAAAGAAGCTCAATCAGTGCATCTTTTAATAATACACAGGTGCAGCAATCGCGGAATCTCTTGCGCGCTAATCTAACGCTGGGCATCTTTAAGTTAGACATCGCGACGGTTTGGGCACAACCAGGTACAGGTTTCGCATTGTCCAGAAATTAAATGAGTCTAATGCTCGGTGCACACATAAGAATTTTATTCTTTGCGAGTGACTTACGATAAATGATTCTAAAAATATTGCAATTGACGTAATTCAAATATAAATTGCAATGAGAAAACTATTTAAAACGAGAAATATATACTATTGTTTAAAAATTACAGCTTAAAATGTACACAAAATATAACATAGAAAAAATAGATAATAGATTGGTTACAATTATATCTATCAATTATATTATGTCAATTATATATGAAATATAAATTTAGTCTTATAATTGTAAACATTTTTAGCGCTTTTTTAATGATACCTACTTTTTTTAACAAATATCAATATCAGAAAAAGTATTATTTTTTTTAAAGAAAATATTCGTTAATATTTGATTAATATATATGAACAATTGTTATCAATTTTATCGAGAGTTACTGTCACGGATTAAATTCTCAAGTGTAAACCCGGTATCGACTATTTACACGGTATATGATGGCAAATATATTTCATTTTATCGGCAAGTGTTACTGTCAAATAAAATATTTTCTTATTACATCGTTCTTTGCATTTTGCTTGCAAGTTTCTAAGAACTTCGTGTTTGCAAGGCAGATATTTTCTTCCACGGTAAACTGCAGAAACTTTAGAAGCAGTAAAATTCGTTATATGACGTATTACTATTTCCTAACGAGAAAAATCCTGCTAATTTGAGTCTTTACTTTCTTAACTCTTCCTGTTGAATTTAAAAATTCTCTAAAAATGTGTGTGCGTAATTTCATGTTTCGTAACTCGTAAATTGCACGCTTAGAGTTTAACTGAATTCTTGTTTGTCGATTTCAATCGATAAATGATTGTTGTTTTCTTTTTGCTTAAAACATTAATTTAATTTTCTATTTAAAACAAAATTTAATCTTTAATTAATTAAATGTATTTTTAATATTATTTAATGAAATGTAATTTACATTTTAACGTAGTAAAAAAATTAATTAATTTTACAATATAAATCCACTTTTTATTTAATTTTGGTAATTAATGGTATTCAATCTACGTACTATTTTTATACACAACACATTAATAATAATCTAAATGTTAGTAGTTTATCGATGTTTTATCTCAAATTTCATTACACACTTTGAGAAACACATATTCCATGTTCTAATCATTATACGCGGAAACATCATTAGCAAATGGGTAAACATTTTAAGATGTTTTCAACGAACATTAAAGCCGTTCTTAGCATATATACATGTATTATCACAAAGATGCTTTTACACATCAGGTACTAATAACTATGTTACTCATAATAATGAATAAATTATCACATTCATTTACAAATGGAACAATATTATAACGAAAAATATTTTTCAATCTTTACATAAAAAGAATATATTAAAAAAATATATAGAAAAATATATTTCGTCCAAAACAAAACATGTTTTCATGAAAGGCGCTTTTTTTCACTGAAATCTAGCAGTGCCATCCTACGTAATTCATAGGTCAACATTTTGGATAGAATTGTTAGGAAAAACGTTATGGAACACTATGGAAATATCAATCATCATTTGTCCGATGTACGCGAACAAACACAAAAGCATACCGCTCTATTTTTATCTCGAATCGTTCGCATGGCTTTTCATTACACACACACACATATGTATTATATATATATATGTGTGTGTGTGTGTGTGTGTGGTATATATGATGTGTTTACGCATGTATTATACATTCTTCGTAAATGTACAATATATAGGTACGCTCAGTTTAATCCTGACTCGTTTTCACACATGTATCTAATGCAAGATTATAAGTTTAATAAACATCCATATGTCGAGCTAATTTATTTGCCTACAGTGAGATAAACATTCAATCAAATTATTTCATATGGAATTTTACCAATTCAATTTATTCAAATCGATAAGAAGTCAGATATTCGCGATATTTATCTTGATAAAAATAGATAAGACTAAGTACATAGACGCATAAATTTTTAAATTTAATCATTATTAGAAGTAGCGTCAATACAACATTATGTTTTATACAAATCTACGAGTGGTTTTTTTAACCGAACAAGTTACAATAGAGATGATTTTTCTTTAACGAGGATTATTGAACGTCATTATTTGTTACAAGTTTATCATCAATAGTAAATATTTTAAGAATCCAGTTCTAAATACATTTTGTATATAAAAATTAATTAAAATTAGTTAAATTAAAAAGATGTAAAAATCTGTCAAATATATTTCATTTTTAAATATTTTAGAAATATTTGATTTTTTTACAAAATATATATGTATCTCTCTTTCAGTGCTAGAAAAGACATTTCGTTTTTAATTTATAAAATGATATGCTATGGCATATATAAATAATGTCATTAAATTTCTATTTCACTTGTACCGCATCAATTTACATTACGATTATTTCAACATAAACTTGAATAAAGTACTAATATAACAAGATTAAAGGTCTTAAACAAAATATCGATTATGTCGTTAAAGGTGAAATGAAGCATAATCATATAGCTATTTAATTGCATTGAGGTTGCATAATATTCAGGCGCTTTCAATGCACTATTTTAATATAAAATATCTGAAATTTATGAAGCAGATAAATTTTGTATTGATTTATAAATGTAAGAGCTTATTTGATAAAGTGATTTTAATTGATATCTTCATTCATTGGATGCGTCCTGATATTAAAATCGTAATGCGTGGGAGAGAAGCATAGTTTTAAACATAAAATATTTATTAAGCATTTTTGTAAAAAAAGATAATATTAATGACTTTTTAAATGTACGAGAAAGTTATTTATATCGCTTCGACTTTTAAATATTAAACCGCATTTTATTTAAAAAATTTAATTCACATATAAATAACCAAATAAAATAAAAATTCACAATTCTCTCGATTGTTATATGCTCTATAGAAAAACACAAAGCTGTTTGCTTTTGCAAATCTCTTCTCAATTCTCAGCTATTCTTTTCTCTCTCTCTATCTATCTATCTGTATTTTATTGTTATGTATTGTTCAACTGTGTACTAAACTATAAATTAAAAACTGAGGAGTTCGCTCAAAAAGATTAAAAATATAAAAATGTAATGATTATTGTGCAAAACGTTCTATATTTTTATTCTTATTCATATAACTATTTTTCTCTAATTATAGTTTTATATATATAATATACATTATGTATATTTCGAACAATTTTTCTATTTTATAAGAGAAATGTAAAGAAATATTAAGCATTATTGCTTTTATGAGATATTGTTTTTAGGGTGAACTTCTCGAGTTAATTGCAAATTTTTCTCTTTTTTAAATAAATCGTCATGGATCAATATCGATACTGTGAATTGATATCCTAGATCATCAGTTCTATCACAAATGGGCCCTGCTCACCGATCCAGATGATATTACCGGTGGTCCCAAAGGTTACCTTAAATGCGACATAAGTGTCATCGGCAAAGGAGATACCGTAAAAATACCTCCGAAAAGCGAAAAAGATGAGGACGACATTGAAGGGAATCTTTTATTGCCCGACGGTGTGCCGATCGAAAGACAACGTGCGAAATTTGTAGTGAAGGTTTACAGAGCCGATGGCTTACCGAAAATGAATAGCAGCATCATGGCGAACGTGAAGAAAGCTTTCACGGGAGAAGTAAAAGATCTGGTGGACCCATATGTTCAAGTGTCTTTTGCTGGACTTAGCGTAAGCTCTACGTATCTTTACAACAAATTTAATTAATCTCTCACTGATATAAAATCATTCAAAAACTTATTATAATATTGCTATATTTTTAATCATACAAATATTATAAAATATAAAATTTATTCTGTATTTTATAATACAAATAAAACATTATTTATATATGATATAAAGTTCAAAATAATAAAAAAATTATATTAAAAATGTTTGCATTTAAAAATAGAGATAAAAAAATAACAAATCAAATTGTATAGTGTACACAGACAGGGGTAAAAACAAATTATTTTTGCAGTTGCTACTCTCATAATTTATTCTCAGTATTTTAAATGTTTACCTACTAAATTATATTATATTAATTATATTAATTAAAAGTGTTTACCTTGAAAATAAACTGCTGGTTGTATTAATTTATCCAAATATTAGACAAATATAAAAATATTTCATAATAATATCAAATCATATTTTTTCTCTATCCCTATTGTCATCTTTTAATACTTATTTATTTATTTCTGCATGAATATATATTAACAAAAATACATTTTGCCATTTGAAAAATATAGCAATATTAAACAAAGTGCACGTGGAGACAATCCAGTATTTTTCTTTATGATACTTTAGGGGAAAACAAGCGTGAAAAGGAATAGCTATGCTCCGGTATGGAACGAACAGATAGTTTTCACCGAGATGTTCCCTCCTCTTTGTCAAAGAATAAAGATACAATTATGCGATAACGACCCAGTACACGCCACTGTCATCGGTACACACTTCGTCGACTTGAAACAGATCAGCAACGACGGCGAGAAGGGTTTCTTACCGACTTTTGGTCCAGCATTTATTCATCTTTATGGCAGCATCAGGGATTACAGCATCATAGACGAGCACTCGACATTAAACACCGGCTTAGGCGAAGGAATTTCATATAGAGCAAGGTAACAATACGTTATTTAATATCGTTCTATTTAATAATAAAATAGTTGCACAATATTATATATGTATAAACATTATTATATAAACAATACAATTATTTAACGTATAAGACGGGCAACAAGAGCCAAATCGCGGATGACAATGCGTTATCCTAACGAAACTAAATAATTTTTCGTTAGAATTAAAATACCGGTGCACAAGGCACCAAATTTTTACTTGGACACGGCCAAGATTTTAATATGAAATAATCTCATATTTTGAGATTTAATTTCAATACCCCTTTAACCCCCTACGGAAAATAAATAAATGAATGCATTCATTATTATTTTCCGTAGGGGGTTAAAGGGGTATTGAAATTAAATCTCAAAATATGAGATTATTTCATATTTAAAATCTTGGCCGTGTCCAAGTAAAAATTTGGTGCCTTGTGCACCGGTATTTTAATTCTAACGAAAAATTATTTAGTTTCGTTAGGATAACGCATTGTCATCCGCGATTTGGCTCTTGTTGCCCGTCTTATACGTTAAATTTATATTATATTACAGAGCCTTGTTAAAACTTTATATTTAATACAATTATTATTATAATTATATTGATTATATTAATTATTTATATTAATAATTCATATTAGAATTAACATTTCAGAATTATATTATAACTATTAACAATAAAGCAGTGAACTAAATCAAAACTTGAATTAGAGATATAAAAAATTATTGAAATTCACAGGAAATTGTAACTTTGCTTTATTGTCTGTTTCTCGATTGTTGTTCGCGTTTAGACTATTAATAGCGATACGAACTGAGATCACCGACAATGTGGAAATGGCACCGTCAGAAGTCGAGGTGGAACCAACAGTTCCGATCAACGAGTCCGCTTACGCGAGAAACGAGGAATTCTTCCTGTTTTCTACGATTATGGATGCGACAATGATCGATAAGAAAGTCAGTGACAAGCCAATGTATTTCGAAATATCGATCGGAAATGCAGGCAACGCTCTCGACGGTCACAATGAAAGTTTAAAGGTAAAAACTCTTTTGCAATTAATTCTCGGAAAGGACAATTAGTTGAAGAGATGTCTTATCAAAGAAATTCTTTCTTCGAAAATTTTTTCTAACAGAAGAAATAAATGAGAGTGGAAAAAAATATTCCAAGGAGATGAATTTCATTTCTATAATGAGATTTGTTTCGCTTGTCGTAGATGTACAATACAGGCTCGAGGAGTTGCATTTCTGGGGATGAGGACGATCTGCAGGAAGTGCTCGCTGGATCCTGGCAAAGTACTACGCCGGCTAGTAAGCCGATGACGCACGATAAAACTTATTATTTTCTACCGTACTGGGATGACAAGCCGTGTCTTCACGTGAGAAGCACGTGGCCGGATTACAGACGCAGAATGTATAACAGCAATATCATCGGCAAGATTATCGATAAGCTGGTAAGTTTATTACAAGCCTTGATCTTGGAAAAAAATATACAAATATCAATGACATTTTTATTTTATTGAAATAACTTGGAGGGAATAAATTTTCCTCGATCAGATTTATCCTCTAAAGAGCATAAAACTGCTTTTCTTTGTATTTTTAGGAGGAAGGATTGTCAGAGGTGCAGTTGCATTTGGAAGATTCAACGTGCGAGAAGCTTCTAAAGGCTACCCTCGAAGAGCTGAGCGCCAACTGTAACCGGTATGTCAGTATTAGCAAGTCTAGCGTAACCGGTCCAGGCGTCGGGAAGACAAAACTGGATAAAGAGCGAACAAATTGTGCCAGCGGGAGCTAGAAAATATCGGGATCATGTCGCGCAACCTCAAGGCGCTCGTGACAAAAAGTAGCTTCAAGGAGAGATTGAAGACAGCTCAGAGCTATCTGCAGAAATTAAAATTCCTCGTCGAGGATGTCAGTAGTCGTCATTTAAACGTAATCGTTGATGCATCACGAAATGAAATTGCGAAAATTTTTCTCTTTACAGCCGCAAGATTCTTTGCCGGATGTTTTCGTCTGGGTGATAAGCTCCGGTAGACGAGTCGCATACCAGAGGATATCGTGTCGTGAACTCATCTACTCGGTGGTTGACGAAGAATGCGGTCGACATTGTGGGAAAGTACAGACTATGTTCCTCAAGGTAAGAAAGTACACTCAAAATAATGCTAAGTCGACATAGTACATGCAACCTTTTTTCTAACTAAATATATGAGAGATTGATTTGGTTAAATTTGATGATAAACTTATAATAATTTTTTCATCTATATTTATAAGAAACTTCTGCAAAATATAATTTCATAGAAATATGTATAAAATATATTATATTATAATTAATATAATATATATAATTTATTATTCATCTTTTTTATTTTTTTATCGAAGAAAATTTATAATGCGTGAAAGAAGAACGCATTTATAAAGATTAAATTCTAAATTGAGTCACATCCAGTTAATAAATAATTTCAAATGTTGTTCAAATTATTTCATATTATTCTCGCGTCGAATAGAAGTCATATATAGCTTCCAGGCAAGAAGAGGTTTGGACCTTCAGGATGGGCGATACAGACGAAACTGCAAATCTACATGTGGCTAGGGATACTGAAGCACAAAAAGTATTTTATTCAGGGTTTGCCGAAGGGATACGAGTTCGGTCACGAACTGAAGAACGTGGACAGGCCCGCGAGCTTTGCCGCCAATTATGCTTCACTACATCCAGAAACATGTATGTATTTTTTTCGGCTCGTGAAACTTTCCGAAAATAAATGCATAATCGTATAAATTCTGAATTGCCAGAAATTTCAATTGAGAGCCCACATGTACCAAGCAAGGTCGCTGATCGGCAGCGACGCTTCCGGTCTCTCTGACCCATTCGCAAGAGTGATCTGCGGTGAATTTTGCAAGAGCACCCAGGTGATCGACGAGACCCTCAGCCCGACGTGGGACGAGTTGCTGTTATTTGATGACATTTTGATCTACGGCACCGCCGAGGAGATCAAGAAGGACCCGCCATCCATCGTCGTCGAGCTGTTTGATCAGGATAAAGTGGTACGAAAAGTTTGCAATGTTTCAGTTGAATTACATATTTTTGTATTCCTCTTTTTTTATAATATTATCTTTACGTTATATTATTTTTTAAATAAAAATTTGTGGAAAACCTATCTAAATGCATTCAAAGTAGCAAATATTTCGCGGAATTTCTCAAACGTTGCTGCAACTTTATGCAATTTGTGTCATAAAATTCAAAATTACTCAAGAATATTAAAAAAAAATGAAAAATCGAAGGTTGAGAAAATTTGTACTTAATTCTGTATTAAATTCAGATTCGATATTATAATTGGAATTATATGTTAGGTGGAACGCGCGTTATTATAAAAAGTATTAAAAAATTATCGTTTCTATATCGCTTCTATGATATTTCGTAATCGTTCTTTTTACAGAGTCATATTATAGCTATGGACATAACACTGCATGAGGGCTCTGCTTTAACAGTTTGTATACAAGATAATGACATTTATACGATGCCGGATAACATGAGGCACATTATACTCGCACCAGAAATACCGTAACTTAGCACGGCACACGTTATTTATGTGTCAAGACATAGAGATTAAATGGCAGATTCTTGTTACGTTAACGTTTACGAATATGGAATTTCGAAAACTGCAAGTTTCCAACTTGTGAAACTGCTGCGGTAGCTAACAGAGAGTCAAACGCACACAACCGCGCAACCGCAAATAACTTTTGCACAAAACTTGGTTTGCTTTACCTTACATGGTTTCATGCATTGTGAACAATACACTTCTCTGTTTATTAATGGCAGTATTGTAATATTTTTTGGCACACGAAATATCTTGGAAGAAAAGTCTGCGTTATTACCGGACAAAAATTACATATAAAAGTTTTGATTAAAATTTCTTAAAAAATATTTATTTCTTTAAAAATTTTTAAGTTGAAAATTTTCATATTTTATATATATATTATATAAATTTTAGTAAATAAGTTACTTCATTAACACACCATATATAATTTTTAATTAGTAAGAAATAAATAACTTTTTATTTATTATTTATTAATTATTAAATTTCTTTCTAATTTTTTTGATAAAATTAAACAACACAAACACTTTGATAATTTTGATATTTTTGTCGAAATTAATTCAGCTTACATAAAATTATAAACGTTATATGAGCTCTAGTTTTCCTAAATGTATTCCCTGTATTTTATAAATCCAGAATTTAACCTTTCTGCATTTTCTCACGATACTGAAACTTAGTACAAGCATTTGAAATCTACTAAACTGAATATATTGCTCCCTCACTCCTACACACAATTCCTTAGTATTTTCACAGTTAATGGGTGACACTTTTGTCTCGTATGCATCGGAATTCCTATAAAATTTATTTTCAGGGAAAATCAGAATATATCGGACGAGCGATCGCCCGACCTCACGTCAAGCTCGCTTCTGAAGCCTACACTCCTCCGCAATATCCGCCGTCGTTGGAATGGTATGACGTTACTAGAGGTGCTTCAAGGGCTGGCGAGCTTTGGCGGTCTTCGAATTGTTAGAATATCCCTCTACCAAAGATTACGGATTCCCTACTCTGCCTGATCCCAAAGATCCTAGCTGCGGTTCTCAAACTCCGGGCTCCGCTCAGGATCAAGGCCCGATTCTTCCGGTGCCCATAGGAATCCGGCCCACTTTGGCGAAATATCGGTAATACCGTTGATTTTTTATATTATTAATTCAATGGTTTTTTTTATATTTTTCAGTTATTGTTTTAAAAATTAATGATTAAGATAAATTATAAAAAGCAAACAACTTTATCGTACGATTAATTTCTTTCCGAGTATCGAGCAGAAAATAATTATAAAATAAATTGTTTTTACACAACTATATAAATATAATAAATCAATCGTTTAGAATCGAAGTACTTTTCTGGGGCTTACGAGATTTGAAAAGAATTCACCTGTTGACCGTGGATAAACCGCGTGTGGACGTCGAATGCGCCGGCCACATTCTCTACTCGTCTGTCATAGCAAACGCGAAGAAGAACCCAAATTTCAACACACCAATTAAATTTCTGGAATTGGAGCTACCCGAGCAAGAGCTTTATCGACCGCCACTGACCATAAGAGCGGTGGATTGTCGGAGTTTCGGCAGATATACTCTCGTCGGCACTCACACCATTAATTCGATACACAAATACATGTACTATCCTTTGACCAAAAGAGCAAAGGATGCTCAGGAGAGAAAGAAAAGCTTGTACCAACTACAGTGTACAGGTAATTACATAATTAATTACAAAGGGCGTGTGAAACTGCTTTATAATTGTGATAACAGTTTAATGAAACATATAATTTAAATAAATATAATTAAATTACTAGAGTAATAATAAAATAATTGTATTATTAGGGAGAATATATATATTGTACATATATTTTTTTTTTGATTTTTAATTTAATTATGAGATAAAAATTTTGTTAATAATAAATTACAAATTTTGTTCATTATAATATTATATTTGAATGGTAACTACGAAAATTAATTACACACTATTATTTTTTAACTGAATTATTAATTTTGTTAATAATATATAATTTGTGAATTAAAATTTTTAAATTTAACGTATAAGACGGGCACAAGCCAACTCGCGGATGACAATGCGTTATCCTAAACGAAACTAAATAATTTTTCGGTAGAATTAAATACCGGTGCACAAG